ATGGTACTAGGAGAATCACAGAAAATTGAGTGCATTATTGAATTCATGCCACATTGTCTCAGGAAGAGATGGGAGTTATGTGTAGTGGTAACTTTTGTCCTTACTGTACTAACAAAGCTGTGGGCACTGCTGTCAAACCTAATTGTCTGCAGCAGATCGGGATAAAATGAATCTTTTCTCTTATCTAAACTCATACCTAGTGAGGTTTTATAAATGAGAAATAGATTTCAGAAAGAAGCTGCACAATTGATCAGAATCATTTGCCTCTATTTGCTGGACACAACCGCATCCTGAAAGCACTACTGACAAAAATTTTAAGAAAGCATCTGGCTTTGGATTGTGAGCAGACTTGCTTGTCATGCTAGCAGTTGCAAAATGCAGATACTCAGTTTAAAGCTGCCTATTTCTCATTTTGATCTGACATATTAAAAAGCATATAATTAATGGTTGACATTAGTAATTAACATTAACTTTATGGTGCTTAATATGCCATCATTCATCCATCAAATAACTGGTATGCATAATTTCTTTGCATAAAGGTTTTAATTGCACAAAATGATCCTTCAGTTCTCGGGCCCTGCAGTTTAAAGTAGTTGTAAATACGTTTTTAAAAGATGTGAATTTTTCGTTTATTGAACGTAAACATTGTTTTTGTTTCTCCATAGGAGTGTGCACAAACGTTTAAGCCAGGCACTTCAACCAGGGACCACGGCCCCAGACGCACAGATTCCATTAGTGGCTAAAGAGCACCACCTTGCTGTTGCCAGTGCTCTCTGGAGAAATTTCTTTCAGAGAATGTCACAGATGCCACCTTCCCCACAGCTTGCAGATACAGCTGCAGGTTAGTATTGACCCTCCCTATGACTTACTGGACTTGGTCTATTTCTGGATCACAAACTTTCAAGGATTTTGTATTTTGGGATATTTCTACTTCCATGTAGTAACTTAAATTTGCAGAAATGCAAAAAGTAATTCTATGCTAAATTCTATGCTAAATATTTTTACAAGAAGGAATATTGAAATTGTGAGTTACTTAATAGAATGCAAGCAGATTGAGAACTCCAAAGGGGTTTAAAGTTATTTAAGCCTGACTTCTTTTTCACTAGTAGTCACAGGCTTATAATCAGCATTGCAAACATTATACAATATAAATGAGAATAACTTCTTTCTCTATATCTAGAATTTACAACTTTTTGTTGAAGCTGGAAATTTTGTGTTGAACTATTCATTATGGTTGTGACTCGAACTAATTTTTTTAAAATAGTGTTTTATATTTTAAGATTATTTTTAAAAGGTTGTTTGTGTTTGTTTCGTTTTGTTTTTTGTTTTTTTTTTATTGCTAAACCCTTAGGGTCATGGTCATAAAAATAGTTTATAATTAATTTTAATTATTTATCTTGCTTTACACTGGAGGGTTTTAATCTTGAAGTACAATATTCCATGTCTATATGAACTCCACGTGCAATGTGTCAGCATGGTAGTGAATAGAAAGAAATACTTGTTTGATCTTCAGCTTCAGTGGCTAGCATTGTATTCTGTCGTTACAGTGAAATCTGGTATCCATTTAACTAAAATTTAGAGAAGTGAAATATATAGTATTTTTTCCCATCATGATATAAATTAAGTGAAGTTACAAGCTCAGAAGTACTGAGTTAGTAATAGAAAAGTGGCAAGACTCTTCATTTGAAGTAGCTCTGCAGTAGTTAGTAGGTAACATTAATGAAGGAGGCAGCGTGCAACAGTAGTGGTCTCACACTGGTGAAGCATGTATGGGAAACAGCAATACAAATCAAAGGAAGAGGTTGTTAATGTCAAAACTTTCATTCATTTCCTACAGTGTCATATCTTTTTATTTTATATTAGCACAGTGAAACAGCAAGAAGAACAACCTATTATAAACTCCACTTAGAAGCAGGGGAGTGCAGTTGTGACCTTCTTTATAGAGATGTGTTAGGCAGTACTACAGAGGAAGGCAAACCCTTCCCATGCTGTATGAGCTTCTTGCCTTAGAGGTTGCAGCCCAGAGGAGAGAGCAGCTGTCGCAGCTCTCCTGCTCCCCCTGCCAGGCAAATAGCCTGGGACTCACATTATCATTTCTGTCTCCTATTTCTCCCCTACCCATGTTATGGCCGATGCTGCAGAAACAATGTGATAATCTGGAAGGAGGCTGGCACAAATTGCTTCCTCACCTGAGGCAGACTGGGGACTCTGTACGGCTTTTTTTATTCTGAGGCACATAAGGAAATGTGAAGCCCTTCATAGCTTAAGGTAGTCTGTCCCTATACTATTAATAAAAATAGCTTCACTATTGTTTCTGAAAACCAGTATTTCTGTCTAATTCAGAGTCAGCTTCCTAATGCATGCAATTTTAGAAATCGTTATTTTAATAAATTAATATTACATTTATATTTAACTTGAATTGGAGAATGTGGGAACTAGTTGAGCTCCTTTATTTCATTGCCCTCCAAAGTCAGTTTTCCTGACTCATTTGACGCCTCTCATTTCCTATAAGCTAATAACTGCTCAGCATTTCAGATCACATTTTCTTCTTGAGTTTAAATACATTTATCGTTTGTAGCATAAAGAATATGCTGTTTCTTTTATTCTGGTGGTGATAGATACAGATTCCACAGTAGAGTTAATAGAAACAGCAAAATCAACAAAAACTCTTCGCAAAGTGCTGTCCCAGTTTCTAGATCTGCAACTGCTATATGAAGATCCTTTTTTCAAGAATAAGCTTGTCCATAGTACTCTATTTGCACAGTGACTTCTGATACATGAAAGTCTGTTCTAAAAATAGGACAGGTACCAGCTTTTACTGAGTGAATTCTTTCCAGATATAGTTCTTCACTTTGAGAAGTGTATGAAAACAACAAAGCAAATAAATAAAACTCAACCTTGTAAAGCACAGTAATACTTGTATGTACAAGGGAAGAAATGCTGGATGGAGGCAAGAAAGGGAAGCCAAAAAGACAAAAACAGCGAGTTTTTAAAACCTGTTTTTTATTGCATCGGTGGTAGAGCTATGTCTTCAGGATTTATAACCTGTGGTTTCATGAAGATACTTAAAATTGTGTATGTTTGGATCCACTTTCCCTCTGTTGTATTCAGCGTGTCATGTTGACTTACAGACTCCTTGGGACAGAGACTACATTTTAACGTGTGTACAAACACTGTCTGTTAGAAGAGTTGCCCAGTTTTAATTGAGATTTCTGGTACTTCCAGACTGCGCATTCTTAACTGTAATTAATTTTAGATGCTTGTCAGGGGAACAGGGATGTACTGAGAAACTGTTAACATGGTGCCATGTTTTTCTTTCTTTAAAATCAGGTTTTACCCTCTTAGCTTTGGATATACCCAGCAAAGCCCTATCAGATCTCCAGCCACAGCCCATTCTATCAATGATGCAGCTGTTTGGATGGGATGACATGGTGTGGCCTCAGCTGGTGTCAAGATATCTAAGTCACCTAATTCAAAACAGGTGAAAAATTGCCACTACTCATTCTTCCTTCCAGTACCTTTATTAGGCTTGTAGAAAATGTTGCTTCAAACAATAGTGTTTCATTAAGATGGTCCAGGTTCTTTGCATCTCCTTAAGTTCTAGGATGCTTGAAATCATCTGGGAAGTTTCACAGGGAGTAGTGGGTGCTGTTTGGGTTGGGTGTTTTGTTTGGGTTTTTATGTTTAAAAATACTCAAAATTTGTCAGGAAGATGGGCAAGTATTTTGGAAAAGTTATTTGTCTTTTATATAGCAAAGCACTTATTTTTTTCCCAATGGAGACAATGTTGGTACTAACAGATTTAGAAAATGGGGACCCAGGCAGTATCTTCAGAGGGGTACTTCCATGAAGAGCATTGAAGTAATGCCTCTAAGAGAAATGGTTGAAACCATAACCTATTTTTAATTTGCATAGTTATAGTTATCCACTCCTTCTATTGTTGCTATGCTTGGGCAAAGTTGTTACAGTGTGGCAAGGCAGCAGCCTCCTCCTGCCCTGGCTGTGCTTGAAGTTGTGCTTGCTAAATTTAAAGCATTGGACTTGTTTTTTCTGTGTTGGTTACACTTAACACAAAAACTTAAATCTTCTCATAAAAAGTCAAGAAAGCATTGTCACAGAAATCTGAAGATGCTATATAGTAAGTATTCAGTGCTTAAATATCTTGGCTTCTTCAAACCGAAGAACTTCTGCAGGAAGCCAAGGAGGATGAGTTGGGCAGAAATGCATGCATTAAAGCTTTCTTTTTGACAAGCTTGGAACTCTTTCTGAGTGCGTAGTAATATTCATGTAGCTCAGGTTTTTGAGACCTGCTAAATGGATGCTTTAAATTAAATAATAGGTTTAGAGAATGTATCACATTCCTGCATTTTACATGCCAATGTTGAATTTTCAGACTCAAAGGATTGTCTAGGTTGGAAGGGAGTCTCGAGATCAAGTAGTCTATTCTGTCCAACGCTTCTGTGCAAGCTTCTGCTTCAGTCAACTACAGCAGTTTGCCCAGGATACTGTCCAGTCAGAATTTTATATACCTGAGAAACTTTATTTGCTCTAAGTGGGCCTCTGTGAACCTAAGATAGATGGATTGTGGTTGTGGTGGTTGGGTTTGTTATTTTTTCCCCTCACCCTACTTCTGAATCAGGCTCTGGAAGCAGGGGAGGTGAGAGATCAGAGAGAAACAGTGTTTATATGTCGGGCTGTATTTGAAAGTGAAAAATATTGCACATTTTTAGGGTACGTATTGTACTAAGGAGCAAAGCTGTAAATCAGGATGTAGTAAAGTGATGGGCAAAGATGAGGCTATGGCCTTCTCACAGGGAGATGTTAAAAGATTAAATTTAGTTGCTCATGTATCAGTTTGGAACTCAGGAGTGTTCAGTCCTCTGATTTGCCATATTTCTCTTGTATGATCTTTTGCAGGGTGAGTTTCATGCAAGGTTGCAGGTACTTAGCATGTGCTGAATGAAATAAGTTAAACACATAAATATCCATTTACAGTTTGAATTTTGTTGCTCTTCAGGTGAGATCAAGAAAAACATTTTCGTGCCTAAACTGGAATTTTGGTATAATTTAGGTGCTTAAGGCTAATTACCAATTCCCCCAGCAAACACTCAAGTAAAAAGCAGTTACTAAAGTATTCATTAGCAACATTGATTAAGCACCTGACATACTCTTACATATGTATCCACAGATACATTGCTATGCTGGCTGAGGTAACATTTACTATGTTTGGAACCACGGCTAAAACATCCCTGTTCTCAGGTGTTTGGGCATGATCACATTAGCACGTGCAGAGTAGTACACACATGTAGCTAGTACCGAGTTCCTCATACAGCTCTGCTGCCATAATTTCATGTAAAACTGCTGTTAGTATTGAAGATAGCTCTCTGGGGGTACATTACTTGAGAAGTTAGAGTACTTGTGCAGGATTTGGAAAACCCAGGTTAAGTGGGTCTTGTACCCCGAGGAAATTCAAACCTTTGTTTCCAAATAACGCCACAGAAGGGAATAAGAGCACCTTGCCCTCTTCTGGCAGGTTGTGCCATGGAGTAACTGAAAATGTGATCTTAAAGGTCTTTTTCAGCCTAGTTGATTCTACGATTCTGTGTCAGGTTCCTGGACCCATGCTGAGAGAAATACCAGGAGAAATCATGACTCCATAGTCGAGGATATTTGTCTTTTGCTTATATGTGTATGTTCTCACTCTTTCTGGTTCTCTCTCATATGTTCTCACTCCCTTTTCTGACTGTCCTTCCTGCTGGAAGCATGGGGCAGAAAGCACTCACACGCAGGCAAATATTTTTGTCCCTAAGCTGTTGAGGTTGTGATTGTCCAGCACCAAGGAGAATTTTCTCTTTCCCCAGTTGCCTCAAGGCCAATGAGATAAAAACTGAAATATCTGAGACAAGGCAAAAGTGTGTTCCTACCTCATTAGCAGAGCTGTAAGGTGCTCAGGTTTCCTCATGAAAGGGCAATAAGTACCTAAAATAAGGCTTTTTTTGGTAGAATTATACAGAGGTATCACACTTCAAACACTGTCATTTTATTATATGCTAATAAGACGGCAAATTTTCGTGGCATGATTCATGTACTACTTTACCTTAGGCAGTCGTAGAGCAAAAAGTTATCAAAGTATCTAAGTGCTGGGATCTTAAGACTTCATTGTTACTGCGCTCTGATAATTTTCACATCAAACATTCTCAGTAGAAAAGTAAAAGGATTATTTGGTTGCTGATGCTGTTACATACCCTGCAAGCTCTGGGAATATGTGCACAAGCTTTGCCATTTCTTTTGCAGTTATGCCTAAAAGTTCCTCTCCAGATCTGTGTTGTGTGACGTGTGATAGTATTATAACCTGTCTAAACTAACTTTAGGCATTTGTATAAGCTCACTGGTTTAAAAGGACCACTTGCCGTGCTTCTGGCAGGTAGTTGTTGTTCTTTCCTCTCTTAAGGATTAGGAGCATATTGTTCTCTAGTTGTAGGGAGGTGCCTGAGTGGCTTACCTACCAGTAAGCAAGAGAAACAACAGTTGAAACTACAGCAGGAAGTGGTTTTGTGAGCCTTTGAGGACAAGTAGACTAGCTGTGTACATCAAGATTACATAAGGCTGGAATTGTTTATATGTTCCTGCAAAGAGCATTAAGTCCATAGGCATCCTGGTTTTTTCTCTTTTGGTGCTGGAATTTGATTTTGATTTTTTTATATTTTATTTGCTTGCATTTGGTCTCTCTATTTATTTTGTCCACAGTACCTCAGCAGGGATGTACAGTCAAAATATACAGTTGACATTGGTTTTAACTAAATGAAACAGAATGAAAAACTTTATTAATGTGAGAAACAGAATCTAGTTTGGTTCCCATCTGGACCTGTGCTGACTCTCTGTTGCAAGCATGAGTGAAAATTCAGTAGAAAATAAGTAGATTTGTATGCACATATATCAAGAAAAAGAGCACAAGCATTTTTCATTAAAGTTGAAGCACTTAGGACTGACCAGAGAGGAGATCTCTCACATAAAAAGGTGTAACTATTTGGAGGAAATTTCACCGACCTGAAACACACACGGAGCTTGTCCGATAGGAACGGGAATTGGGGTGCAGAACAGGCCTGCTGTCCATTAGCAAGGGGTTTCAGCAGAATTAATGATGTGGGGCTGGTATGCTTGGGAGAAGGTGATCACAGCAGCTGCTCATGGTGGTAAGGCAAGTAAAGCTTTGGGAATACTGAACAGTAGAGTTCAGGGATTGTGCACTGAGTGTTGATTGTGCCGTTGACTCCAGCCTGACACCTGGCCGTGAGTGTTTGACTGCAAGTATATACAGGAAGCTTACTGCATGTGGGAATGTGTATGTATATATATCTCTATATATATATGCTTGTATGTGAATACATATAAAAATGCATACCTCTCTACGTGTACATCAAGTGTAGTGGTTTACTTTCTTGTCTCCAAGGTACTTTTTTATGTTTCCCTTTTTGATCTGTTTCTAAGATGACATATTGCTTTATTTGCTAAAGCAGACCTTCTCTTCTCCATCTTTTATGTGGTTAGAAATAAGCAGACTTCGGCGTAGGATGGGGCGCCTGAGCTAGATTTGTCTGAAAGACTGGAGCAGCTTAAGCAGTGTCAATATGAAGTTCTGGCTTTATTCAGATAATCATTTCCAGCACTGTACGTTGACAGTTTAGATCATACTGTCAAATTACCCATTGTTAGAATAAGCATTTCCCATTGTATGAATTTTTCCCGTTTTATATAGCAAAAAACTATGTACATGTGTGTATATTACATATTGCCATGTGTGGCATTACCAAATTTATTGTGTTCTCTGTATTTAGGCATCAGGATATTGTGAGCAAAGTCTGTAGAGTACACAAAAGGAATGCCAGCTGGCCTTCCTGTTGCTTTATTTCTAATTGTTTCTGTGCCCTGTTTCTGTACGTCTACAGCAGAATGAGCCACTTTGGCACTTTTTTGCATACTTTTGTTAGATCTCTACCTTTTTCTTCCTCTTCTACCCATGCAGTGCACTGTGTGAAGCTTTTTCTAGCATGGGATATACATCCTATGAAGCTTTGACAGTACGTTCTTGGTTTCGATGCGTTTTGCAAATGTTCATAGATCAACCAAGTGGTATGCTGGCCAAGACAGATGCTGAGCGAACAGTTGGTAAGTGTTCACATTTCCCTAATGTTTGCAGTAACGATTCTATATTGCAAAACTGGCAAACATTTTCAGCTAATTACAAAATGTATTTTTGTTTGTATTCCTTTACTTTTACCTAATTACAAAATGTGTTTCTTTTCGCCGCTTGTGCTATTTATTGATAGTTTGCCTGCTCTGCATATGACAAATTTATCACAAACAAAGATAAAAGAGCTTGTTTCCTTGGAAGCAAAGAACAAAAACTTGCTCCCAAGGAGACAAGCTATTTTCCCCCCATGGAGAAACTGCTCTGAAAAAAGTGAAAATCTGAAGTAAATAGTCAGAAATCATGCTGTGAATGCCCTAAAAGAAAAAACAAGGAAAAAAAAATCAGTTGCAATTAATTCTTCCCTTTTTTGTATTGGATATTTTGCTTTCTTAGAGCAATACTTCATCACTTCTATAAAACACTGCAGTGCTATTTATCTGTAGAAAACATCTTCCAGCGACTGTTTTTCATACACAGTTTGTAGATTTTGAAGAAAACCATCAGTGAAATTAAAGACTTTGTTATCCATACTTAAAACTATTAATTCTCTTATAACTGTATTAGAAAAATAACTAGTTTGGACACACGTTCTTTGTCTAGAGAGGTGCAGTCTGTTGCAGAATCCTTGTATTTTAGACATTTTGAAAGCATGTTTGATTTTATTATTTTGGGACTAAAATAAATTGGAAAGCATACCTGTACACTATATTTACTGCTGTGCTCTCTTGTAACAACCAGGCAAAGCCTATATGGAGCAGCTGACTGAAATGACAAGACTGATCTTCAGACTCTCAGAAGTACAAAACATTCTTTCAAAGGCTCATGTTGAAGAGTCAGTTTTCAAGCAAGACCCTAAAAATGCTCTTGTCCAATTCATTAAGGTACTGTACATCTCTGCTAGCTTCACAGGACAATTTTAGTGAAAAGGAACTATATATCAGATTTTTTCATGTACAAAAAGAAGTTAATCACACAAACTTCTTGAGAAGTGTTGTAGTTTCATTTATATTTACTTCAATGTTTTTGTTTTCTCAGGCTGTTGGTAGAACTTATAGCAGCCTTCAGACACTCCCCGAGAAATCTGCCATGGTAACAAAGACTCTGGAGTATTTAGGTGATGTATTAAAGAATGTAAAACCTTATCTGAAGGTAAAAGGACCTCCAGAAGGTCTGCAGCTTACATATCGGATCATAGGTAATTATTTTGCAACCTCTTTTCTTTCAGGAAATAGCTTTAAGGAATCAATAAAATGTGACCTTTTTATATTTTTTCTATATATATACTGTCCATCTTAATGGTTTAAAGAAGCAAAGTCACTGAGATGTTAGTTAGATATTTAATTTTCTTCCACAGATTTTCTTTGGGTTTTATCGTGATGTCTAACCTCCTTGTGGTTTTTGTTGTGTTGCTTTGTTTTTAATTACTCCTGCAAATCAATATTTTCAAAAGTAAGATGTTTTCATGTCTTTTACTACTGAAAACCACCTGTTTTACAAAAACCCTACCTAAAACCAGAAACAATGGCAAGACAGTGAAGCATTGCTTCTGTCTGTTATGACAGGCTTTCTTTTTAGTTTAGAAAACATGGAAAAGGTTTAGGAAAAAAAACCAATCAGGTGTATTTCAGTCACTTCTTCACTTTCTGTGGGCTTGTAAAGTTATAAGGACAGAGCAAGAAACTTAACAAATCTAAACACCCCTTGCCTGTGTTCAGATTGTGTCTTCTACTGTCTCCCACATCACAGCAGTGATAATAGAAGAAGTACTTTTAGCTGGAATGAGCACATTTCCTTCAAAGCAGGAAGCTTTGACAACATTATTAGAAGTATTGTTAAGTGCTTGTTCTCTTTCTCTGTGATTGATCATTGTGTTTTCTTTCACTCCACAAGATTAATGTTGTTTTGCGTTGGTTTTAGAGATGGTAATGAATGACTTTTATAGATAAATAATATCTTGTAACAGCCTACTTTTGATCTTTCATTATTTTCAAAGTCTTAAACATATTTTTTTGGGATACTCCTGTATTTTCAACCCAGCAAGCATTTTCTTGCTTCTAATTAAATATAAAGTTAAGATGTCTGTGAGAACTACTACATGGCAATCTTGTTTTATTTAATCTGTGTTTTGAATATTAACACTCATGTAATATATAGTTATTTTCTCAAGAAAAATTAAATCTCACGTGCAATAACGTTATTTCTCAAAGTTAGGTTATTTACACATCAATATCTTTTTACTTTTTTTTTTTTTTTGCAACTCAAAAGGAAAATCTTAAAACTGGCTCAGAGTTATATACATGAGAGGTTAATATGTTGAAAACAAGAAAGATGCTCTTTGAAGTTCTCATTTTGTGAACTAGGAGTGACAAAGGTCTGGAGAGACCATACTGGTTTAAAGGAGTTGGCTGCCCCACATTCTTTTTAGTCTTCTGAATTAGATGCATTAAATAGAATTTGAAAGATATATCATGTTTTCCTACCATTGAATTGCTGTGTGAGTAGCTGCTGATAACGGCCACAGTGTTAGATAAATGTGAAGGGAAGGCACAGGCAGTGTCACTCTGAAAAATGTGATGAACGCACACAGTAAGGTAAATGTTTTAAGTGCATGTGTTCTGATTGCAGTAGTGTTATGTATCAAGTATGGTTAATTTTTCTGCAGGGATGTGGGAGGCTGTCCTTTCTTCAGCATTACTGTAGTTTTCCTAAAGCAGCTTCACTTGCCTAACAACTTGAACTGAATTGAATGAGTCTTGCACTTTCATTTTGCTGAACTGTAAATGGACTTGAGTCATCTCGACTGGGTTTTTTTAAGGGAATCCCATGGAATGAGTACATGAGACTTAAATTGCTTTGGGATTTCTTGCAATTTTTTTGTATTTTATTTTCCAACAGGTTGTCTGGTAAAGTTCTGGGCACCAATACTGGCTACTTCCAAAGCACAGCAACTCTTGTTCCGCATCGTGGATTGCTTACTGCTGCCACATTCTGTGCTCCAGCAGGACAAAGAGCTGCCTGTGGCTTTGCTGTCTGCCATTCAGGAAAGCCTGCCTCTTTATCTTCAGGTAAATACCTGAACTCTATTATCTGCAGACGAATGTATCTTCAGGAAAATATTCATGTTGCAAAGGATGTTTTCTTTTCTTTTTCCCTGATCAAAACAAGTGTTGACTGAATGTAAAGAAGTAGCAAGAGGAGCTTTTTCTTCTCGTAGAATTGGAAGGAAAAATGCCACCCTTTCCTCTTGTTGCATGCAGCTAGGCTTTGGTACGCTCTGGAGCTGCCAGTCTAACCGCTTTATACATAAAGCTTTTAGCCAACCTGGTGTTGTGAGAGATTTCTGAAACAGTGGATCAAATAATCTTAGTAGGTAGCAAGACACTTGTTGAGACGACAGAGCAAACAAATGTTTTAAATCATCCTTGACTTGGCTAACTGTAGATAATTAAAGATGGCTGCTCTTTTTTTCATTGCTCTTGGGAACAAAAGGAACTTCTCTGTGTGTCATGACACTGTTCTATCTTAATAGTTTGAGAATATTTTTTGCTGAATCAAGTTCCTGCTGCTTACACTTACATGACTAAAGCCTTTTTGCCCATTATTCCTCCTATTCTTCCCTCAACTTACCTGTCACTCTTGAAACTGCCAGGCTTGTTGATGCTGTAGAAAAAGACTAAATCCTGCTGGTGAGGAAGAGAAAAGAATACGTTTTTTAAATAAATGACATGTTTTTCCTTGTAAATCCTGGGGTCTTCTTTGATTACTATTTTCCATTCCCTCTTAGTCTTCAATTTGATTTCAGTCTTAACTGATGACTTTATAGGATTATATTGTGAAACAATGCAGGGGTGACAGTCTAAACATCCCTTGGATTTATTCCTTTAAAAGTTGCACTGTGATCAATGGCATGTCATCTGGAAGTGAATATGATTATATAATGATGTGCAAAATATGACTTTGCTGCTCTGTAGGTATTTTCAGAAGCTATATACATGTAGGGCCATCTGGACACTGGTATTACTACGGAGTGTGACTGCTTGCTAATTTAGGATTTCAGTTGGAGAGCACTGTTTCTCTGTAGCCTGCACATACGGATGTAGCTTTAAGATGAAACCACTCTGTTTTGAAGTCCAAGTGTTGTGGACCTTTGTTTCCTGTTTTCTTTGTCAGTCTCTGACTTCCTGACCTCACTGCCCTATTCTTCAGCAGTCTGCTGCATAGTCTATGTGCTTTCCAGCTAAGCCAGATGATCTTACTGCCCAAATAGTTTATTTTAGATAAATGCTGCTTATAGAAAACAAGCCAGTCTTTAATTTGTCAAACACTTTGGGGGAGAGAAAACAAAGAGAAGACGACTTTATTTTTCCTGTTCAATATGGAACTTCTACATTTTATTAATTGTTTGTATTTACAAAGTTGCAACATTTTTAAAAGCTGCAGAATGCTTCATTCCAGAATACTTTCTTCCCTTTTCATTGGGGAAGTGGAAAAATTCTGATTTAGAATCAACTTGAAAATATTTTAGTATCAATTTTAAATTCTCTTAGGACTGCTTCTGAACTCCTTTGAGATTGACTGGATTCTAGGCTCTCTCTGGCTTCTCAGGTTATCGTTTCATAGTTGGCTTAAGGCTAGATTCATTCCCTTTCACCCCCATGTGCATTCCCATTTAATTTGCTTTAATGATTCTGCGAATAGCAGATTGTGAGCTGATTCAACTAGTAACTAGCCCACAAAACAAACGAACAAACAAAAAACTGAACCTCAAACCAGAAAAGTGATAAAACACTGTATGTGGGAGGGAAAGCATGTAGATGTGGTGGGAGGAAAGGCAGATAGTCCGCATCCTCTGGGAGTAATCCCACCTTGATTAATTTAGACTACCAGCTCTTCATCAGGGACTGTAGTGACAGGACAAGGGATGATGGGTTCAAACTTAAACAGGGGAAGTTTAGATATAAGGAAGCAGTTCTTTACTGTGAGGGTGGTGAGGCACTGCAATGGGTTGCCCAAGGAAGTTGTGAATGCTCCATCCCTGCCAGCATTCAAGGCCAGGCTGGAGAGAACCTTGGGTGACATGGTCTGGTGTGAGGCATCCCTGCCCATGGCAGGGGGTTGGAACTAGATGGTCTTAAGGTCCTTTCCAACCCTATTCTATGATTCTATGGTGAAATGTGTGATCAGAGTCTCCTTGGGTGGCTGCCCTGGGTCTGGTGCCCATTCGTGGATGTGGAGCAGTGGTGTTTTAGTGCAGAAGCCTTAATTCACCCACCCTAATGTTAGACAAACAAACATTGTTCTATAGATCTGTCCCTGTTAATACTCCAGTTTACAACTTAATCCTTTGGCAGTTACATGAAAATAAAGAAATGGGAATTTGGATACCATGGAAAATATTTTGTTATACATGCAGATTCTTTATTTATAGTCAGAGCATAAAAACCCTTGAGTAGCATTTCTACTCAGAGGTCTTTTCTGTTGGGTTTTTTTCTTTTCTTTTTTCTCTTTTTCCAGCCTTCTGAAAAGTTCCAGGCTCCTTCTCAATCTTCTTTTCTTGTCCTGAATTCTCCTTCTTAAGCTCCTTCAGCATGGGCTGCTCCTCCTTTGTCCAAGAAAACCTCCTTAAATATTCAGAAAACATCATTTTGCAAGCAGTGGTTTGAAAAACTTCCCTCTTTCCAGAGCTTTTAGCAACTAATCTTAATGTGGTTTATTTGATCCTTTTATGTGGGTTTTGAAAGGATTTGAAATCAGTCTTAGTAGCAGGTAATTAAGTTCACACATTCATTGATGCAGCGATCATATGAAATCCTGTAGAATTCCTGACTTGTGTAGAAAAAGATTCCCCAAACAGTCACATACCCTGTGCAATGGTAATGCAACTGGCCACACAACTTGGGCACCAGGATGAAAAACAAGGACAGTGATGTTGTCCTTGTGCTGTACTGTGAGAGGGCATCGCCCTTGTTCATCACCCTGTAGTCGACACCCTATAATTGTCACCCTACGATTGTTCATCTTTCAGCACATCATACGAAGCTCCTCCCCCACAGCATCATTTATTACTACCTTCCCTATTCATCAAAACTGATGACTGTGTCTCACCCTCCTTCACCACCCCAAACATAGACATTTATTTTTAATAGCTCAAAATTAACAGGCTTTGTTTAATTGAAATTTTGTTTAATTAACAAGCACAAATGATTGTAAAATGCAATAATTCAGACCAGCCGTTGTATTTCTCTCTCCTCAGTTCACACTGACTGTATTTACTTGTTATGTTTGTGTCTACTGTACATACAAATTTGGGCTGTACAGCTGTGCCTTTTGACAGCTCTTGGGCAACTGGGCTGTTCTCCACTGTACACTGAGCTTACCTAGAAGTTTCCTTGAAACTGAGTCACCGATTCTGCCTTGTCAAAATAGCCTAGCTCTAGCAACTTTTCAACTAGTATTTTTTTTCTTGCCTGAAGGGTTACTGTCTGGCTATTATTTCTGTCACTTGCATCATCTGTTTTAGATAATATTTGATGACCTAAGACAGATTTTGTTGGGATATAATATCACAATTGTCCTCGGAATTTTTTAAATGGTGGAATGCAGAATATAAAGCATCAAGAAAATGAATGAACCTCCATTGTATAATTTTACGGAAGTGTTCTTAAATATGAGATAGTGAGGCATGTAAAATCTACGCTTGGGTATTTTGCCCCTCTAAAAAGAAGTTGAGCTGATTTGTGTGATAGCGGATTGCTGCAGCCTACCATGGGAAATTTCATATTGAGATTGCGCTTGGATGGATTTCTTTGGGAATTATTTGAAGGAATTTTAGTATGTATTTATCAGTAATATGGAAAAGAATGGATGCGGTATACAGGACTGACTGACTTTAGAGAAGAAATAGTAGTTTAAATATATCTTACAGAATATGGTGTGGGTGCATGGAATAAGCGTGATATACATAATGATGGGAAAGGTAAGATACCCTGCTTGATTTATCAGCATTAATCCTGTCCAAATACAGATGGTTGATTGCTATCTAAATACAGGAGAGTGGTGAAAGAGCTTAATTCCAAGTAGTGCTTGGCACATACATTTTCCAGTGATTTTAATGGGTCTGTGCAGGCTCAGCACTTGTCAGAGATCAGACCTTGAAAGCCCTCCTGTGAGCCACATCTGTGGTCCGATATTTGAGCAAGCTTATTAATACATTTTGTGAATTATAGTATGTGTTTAATAGGAATTGTACAACATTAATTGGCGAACAGCAGATTTATTCCAACAGCAGGACTGATATTACAAGTCATCATTAGATAGCTTGGCATTTCTGCAGTGAATAGTTCCAGTAATCCATACTAATCGGTTCTTCGCTCTCCACAGGTGATTTACAGATATATAGATAAATCAGAAGAAAGAGGCAGCTCTGGCCACAAAAGGTTCCTGCAGTGAACACACACAGGAATCAGTTGCCTTTCTGCTAAAATGAGGAGCAGATGTTGTCATGCCCCTCTGCTCCCCTTAAAAATTCTTTGGGGTTTTTTTTCCTTCCTTTCTTAACCTCAGAAGATAGTTAAAGAGCACAGTTAAGGAAAAGAGAGCGGCTCTATCAAGCCTTTAAAGTCCATCTGCTTTGTAGGGATTGTCCTAGGGGTCAGATGTGACTGATTTCAGATCTCTGGTCCAGAATTGCAGTCCAGTAGCATGTGTTTCTTTTCTCTCTCACATGAACAGTAGCTTCCTTCATCTCTGTTAATTACCGGTGGGATTTAAAAGAAGAAAGTTCCACATTATTTCCTTGTAATCACATCCCTGGCCAGCGCTGCCTGCGATGTTTTGCCATTGTACTCGGAGATTTGCAGCTGCTGTGCAGTGTTGGTAATTTATCCCTTCTGCCACTGGGGATATGGCATTGTCAAACCTTGTGCCGGTCTGCTGCTCTTGGCACTTTGTAAGAAAAAGGAGTCCAAAATAAAGAACATGGTGTTGAGCTAAAGTCAATGGGCCCTCTTGTCCACAAGAGAAATCCAGGTTCTTTTCTGGAAACTTTTAGGGGACAGTAGGAGCATCAGGGTCAAATGTGTGACGATTCTTCCCTGAAGATCTTTGATGCTGTAGGTGTGCCCTTCCTGTGTGAGGACTGATGTGTGGATTTTTCTGCTGTGTAGAAGAGAAGGATTTTTTTGCTTGGGGGTGTTTTTCTGGCTCCCAATAAAAAGGAAGGCAATTTTTATCGCTGGAAGAAAGAACTGAATTTGTGTCTTGGAAGCTGTTAGTGCTAATCTTGTAATTTTCATTAAGAAAAAATTATGAGGATCCTTCTTCAAGTGAGAATTTTGTTATTACTATGTAGTTCTAAAAATTACACCTTTTTTGAGAGGCAGCATCTCTGCCTGATCCATCAAAAAGGAACCTAGAATCCTTCCTAAAGAAAAGATTAGGTTACAGGAAAAAGGTGTTTTCTTTTTAAATGTTTTTTAAGCTAACAGCTCTCCTTAAGGGATTTCAAGAGCTCTCTCAAACCTCATCAGGTAACTAAAGAAAAAACATCACTAGTTAACTTACGTCCTTTTTTAACTCTCTAGTCAAGAATAGTATCTCTCAGTAATGCTTTTGGCAGTGTGTTGTTTTGTTGGTGGTGGGTTTTTGTTTGTTTTAATTTTCATTTAATCCTTTCCTTCTTTTTCATATTACATCTCCCCCCATCCCACACCCCCAAAAATTAGAATCAGATACTTCAACTCAGAAAATGAAAATGCTTTTACAAATTGTCAGGGTAGGTTTGTTGCTCCATCTTAAATTCTCATCTATGAGAAGATCTGCAAAAATTAGTCAGTGTTCCTTCAGATAATCTAAATTCTAATATTTTTTGCTATTTATTGCACTTATTAAGGGTCATTGGGATAATTTCTTAAAAGTAGTAACTCTTATTATTTAATAGTATCTGATTTCTTCCTTATTTTCTTGACACTCTGTAGCATTTGTTGTTCCTCAATTTGAAGAACTGTCTCATTTCAGTTAGTTCTTCATAGGTGTTACGTTCTTCATGTGTTCTTACAGGTGTCCTCTGGAAGGTTGTGATGTTCTTTGTGTCCCTTTTATCAGACAGATTAATACACTTTCCTTTCTTCCAGCTTTTTTTTTTTTCCTTCTTGTAGTGTTAGAACAGTCTAAAGAGTGCCAGCTCTGATTTTGGGACCAAGGAATGTTTTCTGTGTAAGAGCTGTACTAGAGAAAGCACAGGCAACAACTCTTCTTCATGCCTGCTGCAACATCTTGCTGAAAACACCAAACAGCCTTAGATACTAAATAATCTGTCATCTATAACAGTCTGAGCCTACTTGCCAAGCAGTGGTTTTAAGAATTCTGATATAGTAGCAGCTGCTTTTTCCTACAAAATTTTGCTGCATGTACACAAAATGGAAAGAGAACTGAACTGTTAAAGCCCCTGTTCAGGAAGTGTGGCTTTTACCATCAGGACTCACCAGAATTACCCAGGAGCTCTCTAGAATTACGTGAAGTTAAACCCTAACCGAAGGTGTCTGCGTTCAAGAGGGCCACTTACAGCAAGTCTTCAGGCATGTCCTGAAGCACCTCATTTCTTGAAATCTCACGTTTCCTGTGTTGATTTACTGTGGAACCAAAAGTGGGAATTCCCCATTTCAAGGAGGTGCCAGGAAGACCCTTAGCTACGGCTCAGCCTGCTTTTTTTCTGAAAGAATTGTTCTGTCATGTTCATGCAGACAGGTGTAGATGGAAATCTCTTTGGGGAGGGCCTCCTATGTGAAAAGCAACAGAAATACTCCTTGTCAGTAGCTGGGGAACAAAAGCAGCTTGTGAACTGTTCATTCCTTCATTAGGGGCATTAGCTTACCCCAGCAAGCATCAACATTCAGGCAGGTACTCCTCCTACCAAAACTGGAGTCTGAATTGCAATGCTAGTGGAAGTTTGAAGTACTCTTGAAGTTGCTGCCTAGGGAACTCTGTGCTTGAACTTCTTTTATGCCATTATTTTTGTTGGACAAAGCTACTGTGAGAACTGAATTCTCAAGAGGCTTCTGTTTGTGCCGCTGACTGTGACCCTTATGATAGGAGATCACTGGAGATTTTTATTTTTTCTTAGTGATTTGTTCTTCTTTCTTTCAGCAGTCAAAGGAAAGGGAAGGAAACTCTTAACTTTCTTTCACAGCAACTCGTACCAGTAACAAGAATACTCTTTTCAGAGATCTACTGTGTATATGTGTAATAACTATGGGTAGTGTTCACCTAGGCACTTTCTGGGCAAGCACTTTCATTATAGATTTCTCTCTGGATCAATATAGCTTATATTGAATAAATGACTGCAGATTTAGGCTTGCCTTAAACAGATTTTTAAATAAACCTCTAAATCCCTTATAAATGGTGCCCAATTTACTCCAATTCATTCACACTATGAGCAAAAATTTTCTTGTCAGACCATGATTCTAAGTGCTCATTTTTCTGCTATGTTGTTCCTACAAAGATTTCCTACAGTGCTTTACAAACAGGTGAGGTATTCTCTCTCTCCCTTCATAAATCTGACTTGACTAATGTACTTTTTTAGACATGTACAGAGTTAAAAAAGAAATTAGGAACTCTTGGGCACAGAGACGGTTTCTCAGGTCTGAAAAGCCAAGGTTTTATTTCAAATTTGAAGGGGAGTTTCCGTGTCCCAGAGCTTTTCTTTCAATATATTAATTGGTCTAGTAGAAGATTTTTGTCTTCTTTGCAAGCCTTGCCCTGGCCCTCTCTTCATTTGTAGACCATCATATCTGCAGCAAATTACTGATGCTTGTGTGCAGCAGTTTACAGAGTGTGTATTTAGCTCACAGTTTTTAAAGACTTATTCAAAAGTATTGTTAAAAATGTATTTATTTAATTTCTCACTTTCTGACATTTTCTTCTGCAGGGCCTGTCCTTTATATGTTGCCATTCCCAAACACAGGGTGCCTATTTAAATCAACTGCTTGGCAGCATTATTCAGCAATATTTTGGACGATTTCTCCCTTCTTCTCCATCTGTGCTTGGAGCCAACCAGCATCCAATGCTGACTGCTTTATGCAGCTCCATTACAGCTCCCCAGATGCTCCGTCTACGGAAGACCACTCTGCATGTCATAAAGTAAGGACCAGTGAAGTAAAAAAAAAAACCCATCACTTATTCAGATTTCACAAATTGCTCAGGAGAAAGGGAATGCCACTGTTTTCTTCCAAGTTAACTGCTAGTTTGGCAGTGGGAAAGGCTTCCAAGTTTCTGGGCAGAGAGCAAAGGAAAGACAACGTGTATACATCAGGAAAGTAAAATTTGGAAGATCTGGAGACCAGTGAGAGTGTCATTGAGGATAAAGGTCCTGGACTAAAAGAAAAAATATCACATGGGACCACGTGAAAAGCAAGTATTTTTCTAGAAAAGTTACACTCCAATAGACATCATCATGTGTTTGTGTCTCAGGCTGTATTTAGGGTCACAGAGGTGCAGTGCTTACAGTTGGAAAATTGAAATGGAAGATTTGGTGTGTGGGAACGAAGAGGAAGATGTAAAGGCAGGGAGACAGTGCTTGTTCACTGCGCTGTCACTGCTCACACGATGTCAACAGCAGCTCTACATGCTGATTCCCTGCTGCTGAGAGGCTGATGCTTGTTTTCTATAATGCAGAATAGGGAACAAGCTGTACTTTTTGTCTATGTTGGGAGAGGAATTAAACCCCCTCAGATATAACGTGGTTGCTTTTATCCAAGGTAATTGTATTTTTGTTTATTGAAAAGTCTGTATTACATGTTGGTTAAAAGAATTTCAGTGTTGATCTTAAGCAAATATGACAGGCAATCCTGTAAGTAAAGCCTCCATTATCCCATATCAAGGGAATGAACTAAGATTTTGCAGTCTTAGTTCTGATGTCTTTTTAAGCTATGAACACTCAAACTTCATCATCTTAATAAAGTTGGTTTGAACGTGTGCGTGCATGTGTGGATTTTAAGACTGAGAGTGGAAAGAAAGTTCTGAAACTGTAATGGCACTTGGTGATTTGTAAGACATTAAATGTTCCTTAGTGACGTGGGAAGAATCTTAGAACTGAGCAGCACTCTGATTTACAAACTGGGGTGGTCAGGAGGCACCCACTAGGTCTATATGTAAATACACAGGTTGTTCACTAGCCATATATAAAAATACATAAGTGTTACAACTTTCATTTGTCAAGTTATACCAGTGCTCTGAAGCTGTGCAGTGAAATACTCAGATCCCTGAAAGCTGTAGAAGCACTCCTTATGTTTAACAAGGATGGTGGTTTTTGATTGATGCTTTGCTCAGTAAACATGTGCCTTGCTTGAGTAGCTGGTGGAACCTAATATTCAGTATCTAAAAAGGTTGTCTGAAGGTGTTGGGAGTGCTCTTGCTAACTGATGAGTAAATGCTGTGTCCTTTTTACCTGCACTCTTCTCTCCTGAATGTTTCAATTTAAGCTTACTGTCTTCAGATTTCTGTATTCTGTAATGTCAAACCAACAGTAGTTCAGATTCTTGTATCCTTTTGCAGAAAAATATCAAATCAAGCTGTTCAGATTGGAACACTTAATATGCATGAAGTCAAAATTTGCTCATTGCAGATTGACAGGTTACCTTTTATCTTTGTGACAAATTTTATACCAGAGATGACTGTGTTAATTCTGGAGGAGCAAAAGCAAACATTGGCTGTCCTGCTACAACATACTGTTGACAAAAATAAAGTAACAGTACCAGTATAACAGCAGAGCTGTTACCACAAGTTGGGTTGTGAGTTGACAAAAGCACTAAACTAAAACTAAATAAAGTAATTGAACAACAGTTGTATTTTGGATGTTGTTTTAGGGTATTAGAATCTTGATTCTTCCCTTTATTCAACTATTTTATGAAGCTTTTCTGTTTTAACTTTTGCAGTTTCATTTGGCTTTGTAAGTATAATTGATTGATAGCTGTTATTTCTCACTTCCCTGTCAACAGAAGAGTCAGAAGGCATCACTGTCCACTCATAAATTGGGAGTCATTGCTAAGACTAAGGCAAAGATGTCATTAGATAAAGATACTGTAAGGTATATGCTGCTTGCATTGAATGGAAATAACGAACTATCGCCTTTGTTCTGGTTTGCTTTGTCTTCCCAGTGAAAACTACTTGCAGTTCAAAGGTAACGCTCCACCTCCTCGCTTGGCCTCAGTTCTTGCCTTCATTCTCGACGTACTTCAGAGAACCCAGAGCATTGAGCTATGTGACATTGACTTAGTTCTCCCGGCCGTGTTGAAATGCATGGTATTGGTTAACGAGGTACAAGGTGAGCTGCTTGTTTGCTTTAATTACATCCCTGCACACCTGTAAGATTTTTGAACCACTGAGCATCTTTCATACCAGTGTTTAAGACTCTTAGATGACGTGAATGAGATACTTTGACCAGATAAACTGGACAAGCTTTGTTTTTTCATTAGCTGACCTGGCTGGAATGCCTGTCTCCAAGAGGCAGAGAAGTCCTACCTCTTTTTGCTCTCTAATGATCAACTTGTAAAGAGTCTGAAGAGCATTTCCGTTTTCCCCATACTTCCCATCATCTCATTTCTTCCAGACTTAGTAACTGTGGAAATTTTCTTATACCTAAAGGTTTGAGACCAAATAAGATTAGCATATGTTCTCCCCGTAGAGGCATCATAAATGGATTAAAAGTAGCTTGTTGCTCTCTGAAGGCATCTTTGAGTCTTCTTTCTTCTTTTAGCGTGCTTTGTTTGGTAGTGTGATCTTTATTTTTAGTTTCTTAAAAGATGCAGCACTCTGTTCACCCCACAGTTGTATAATGGATGTGCATGTGTGCCTAAGCTCAGAATTTCCACTTCTTGCTGCCAGCAGGGGCATTAAGCAAAATGGGGATTCACCTCTGACTTCTCCTGGGAATTTTGTTTAATAAAGTACTTTTTGATCCTGGTCTGTGAAAGTTTCAAGGACAAGATATGCTTAGGAAATGAGCTGAATCATCACACCCCTTTCTTCCCCCTTTTGCCGTCGCAGCCATATCTGCCTGAAGCTGAGAGTACTTTCTTTGCAATGTGCTGTGGAGCAGAATGAGCTGAATGCATCTTGCAACTTGAATAATTATTTGGAAACAAGGGGAAGAAAATAGTGGAGTTTTAGGGTTTTTTTTCCCCTTAATAAAAAAGAGGTAGGGTAGATTTCAGAACAACACCCACCACTGAAAGTAAGGAGTAGGTCTCTATAGCTTTGGGCAGGATATAATGCCATGACTACTTTTCTTCCATTCAAATAGGAATGGTTAAATAATACAAACAGAACTGAAATTTAAATAAAATCTCTATTTCCACCAAGTGGTGTCTCTTTGCTTTCACTTAAAGAGGCCATAGTGTACTTAAAAATCTGTATGTTTAAAGGATAATGGTGGTGAAAATAAGACTTTTGCATAAATCTGTGATTCATTCTGTTCTTTATAGCCCATCTAACTAACTGCTCTCACAGTCATTTCCCTTGCATCAAAGTAAGATAAACCCCTTTTTTTTCCTCTCATTTGAAAATTGTAGTCTTCATGAAAGACATTCTCCAGATGGTCAGTTCAAGAGCTCTGTGTGAATCTTGTGATTTTTCTTTTACAGTTAAAAAACTATCTACCGACATTGTACAGTACATGGTAGAAGGCTGCCAAGCGGGGTCAGGAGGAGAGCGTGCCACCCAGCTGACTTCTGTATTTAGGTAACCAGAAAATATGCCAATTGGCAGTGAGACTCCCGCAAGCCAATTGACAGCAAACATGTTTTTAAAATAGCTAATTATCCTCAACATACTGCATTGTCACTTGTTTATGGTATTTAAATAACGCTACTTTTGGCACTGCTTTTAAACACAGCTTGGCCAAAAAGCCAGAGCAAAAAAGTAGAAGAGAGAAACATATCTGCTTTCTTATGGATCAGGTACAGTGTGGAAAGGTACATAGTAGAGGTGTGATGCTGCTGCAATAGGAAAATCTCTTCCTGAATGCTGATGTGACATGTGTATAATGGAGATAAAAATCCTCGCATATTAAGTGTAGCTTTTGTTTTAATTTTTTATTATTTGATTTTGTGACCAATAAATAATATATTATTGTAATGTAAACTATACTTATTCCACACTATTGCAAAATAAATCCTGTTTCTCATGTGGATGCAGCAGAAGAGCTGCATGAGCTGAGGCCCAAAGACATTAAGCAAACCTAAACAAACACTGGTGCTGCACTGGGTCATGGCTAGATGAAAGCTCCAGAGGGACTCACTGAAGGAAGGACGGCTGTTTGTGGGCATGCCAGTCTGTACAGGATGTATCACTTTAATGGGATGTGTCATCCCTAGGGTCTGTCTTCTGATTTGAATGTAATCTGTGATCTTTAAAAACCTCACACCCTTGGGAAGACAAATGGGTGCACTTCCATCCATCCATCCAGTGATCTCCCCTGCTTAAGATCCAGTGGAGCTATATAAGAAATGCCAATAATTTCTTATAATAAGAAGAAATAATTTCTGCAGACTTGAATTTAGATCTTTTGTTCTGCTGGTCTTTTACTTTTTTAATTATTATTTTTTATTAAATAACACATGGCTTAGTTGTGCATTCAGACACATTACAAAATAAAGTGCAGTGCTCTGGAAAAAGGCAGCCCTGGAGAAACAGCAGCAAAGTCTGCCAATTTGCTTGAAAATAAATGTGTGGGATTTTTAGCATTAGCCTTCAAAAGCATGGCTTTGTTTAAAGAAAGTATTCCATGTAGAGTATTTCAGTGTAACAATATGAAAATTGCCACCCAGCCAGATTGCTTGTTCTGATTAGACTCTTCAGTTGTTCTTGGCATGTTCTCTGCATCTAGTTTTGACCTTGCATTAAATGCCTCTGTGTCCCCCTCAGGCAGTTTATCCAGGACTATACTGCTGTGTATGATCACCGGGTTTTCAGCATACTAGAAACAGTGGCGGTCTTGGATCAGACATTAGTTACCAGCCTGATTCCCACAATCACACAGTCTCTGAAGGATTCGGAGCACAAACAAGGTCTTGGAAGAAATACTGCACAGAGGTTTGATTTCTATTTTTCTTTGACAATGAGCAGTAGAGGTTTATTCTCTTGAAAGCAAGCAGTGTTAGCAGCACAGATACTCAAAAATGAGTGATTTTTCAAGTTCATTCAGCCAGAGATCTCACTTCACCCAGGCCTTTCATGGTTTTAAGCCATCTGTATTTGCTAAATATTTCAGAGATGTTTTGATACAAGGGTTTATAAGACAAGTAGAATTTCTGGGAAGCCAGGTTGCCACTGCTTACTGTACTGTATGTTGCAAAACAGACTAAGGAATTCCTGCCCCAAAGAATTTTCCTGTCAGTCCCTGTTTTGGAGGACTTTATGGTTCTTATGTAAAATTACAGTATAATCAGCTTGGATGATGATCTTAAGGTCCTTTCCAACCCTAACTATTCTATGATTCTATGATTCTATGTTTGGAAAAGAAAAACCCATAGCTTAATTTCAAGAGTTCTGTCATACTACAAACATACTAGAGTTGTGGTCATCCAGGAAAGGCTGGCCTTCTCTCACCAACTGGCACAGCAGGCTCACACTTCCTCTGTTTGCACCCCAAGAACTTAGGACAGGACTATTTGACTTATGAATCCATGTAGCATTAAGAGGAAACGGCACATGAGGTGATGCACACACTGGGACTACTCAAAGGGTAGATCCTAGTCCCACCTCAGGCTGGAGAAGTTTTGAGGTGTGTGTTGGCAGGGCTCGAGTTATAAAAATCCTAAAAGACAGAGTTGTGCAAGAATGCAACTCGTGAGGCAGTAAAGGGTAGTCACAGGGTATTCATTTTCCATTTAATGAAAAATATATTTAATTCAGTTGTAACAATATTATTCTTTTTTTATTATCCTCTGCCAAGGAACACATTTGCTTTTATTTAAGGGAATTCACCCAAGGCCAAATTAAAGTACCATTATGTGCAGGATTTTCATACTACCTGCATTTCATCTGTTAATAATGTATTTCATGGACAATTTTCATATTTTTTTATATTGTCAATAAGGTAAAAATTATCACTTTGTCTACACAATATGAAAAAAAACGGGTTGCTTTAGCTTCCTGAAATACATGCTTTGAGATTATTGAAGAGCTAAATTTCTTTTAGCCTCATCACTTAATGTATATATTATCTATCTGATCTGTTGTTGATGTTTTGTATTAATAGTTTGTATTTACAATGTGCTCCATTACCCAGCAGTCTGAGGGGATCAATTAACATTTTACTGCCAGAACACTAATACCTGATTTTTATCTTTTCAGTCCTGTGTGTAATATGTGTGTGTGTGTGTGTGTGTGTGTGTGTATATGAAAGAAAAAAAGTTCAGAAGTTGTATTAGCTGCTTACAGCAGTGATGTCCAGTGTTACTGCTGCAAGGAACTAGTATGAAAACTGCAGTTTTGTTTGCTCAAGTTAATATTTCATGCATAGGTAGATAATTAGAATAGACCTAAATGTCAGAGGCAGTACTTTAACAATAATTATATTGTCTAGGTTGGAGAGTATTAGAATGAACTTAAGGTGAAAAGCCTTGTCAATACCTATGCACTCTTCTGGAAAATCCACTTGAGTGACAGTCCCGTTCTGAATTCCAAGTTTATTTTAGAACAGTCCTTGCCCTTTGTTGGGAATGATGGTCTAAATCTGTGTCAGTGCCAGTTTGTGGCCCTAATGCCAGCAGCTCACATCACTGTGCTGTAACATCAGTCATGGACCTATTTCTTATACAGAAATTAAATAGCAAATGTGATGAAGTCTACATGCCAGTCATCTCATCTAGGACTTACTTGCAAGCTCCATGTTTTAAAATAAAATTCTCTTTCACAGCAGTTTGCAAAGCAAGTAGATTTCTAAGCATCTTCACTACACTTCTAGCCATAAACAATGCAATCTTTACTCTTATTGTCACCTGGTAATGCTAAGAATTTACAGCAAAACAAGTAGTTGAATAGATGGGGGGGAGTGACTGTGTTTTAATATCCGAATATGTAATCAGTGCTTTTGGGAGATATGTGCTTTTACTCCTAGGATGTATGAGATGATTGTTTAAATAACATGTTGCCTTCTTTTGGGTTTTTTGTTTTTTTTTTTTCAACAGAGAAGCCTATAAAAGACTCTTATCTTACCTCACAGAGGCTGGACAAAACGAGATACAAAAACTGGAAAATGAGACAGGTTAGCAGTGTGCTGGTGATTAATCCTTTCCTCTTCAACGTTCTGACACTGTCAGTACCTAAAACTACACTCTGCGACACACTGGCCAAGTCCTTTATCTTTATGATGGCAACATATTTATCAATTTTGTTGGTTTTCCCTCCCAGGTTATGTATTAATTTTCATAATTTTAGTGTTATTTGAGTGTTGTCATGCATCTGAAGACGAACTCTCAATATACTGTTGAGTGGCAGTTGAAAGATACAGCAAATTTATGAATGTCAAAATGCCTATATAAGCAGAGCCTGTGTTGCAACACGAGAATCAAAGTAGTTTCACAACTCAATTCACATTGAGTGAGACCTGACCCTCTTAAAACTGTACTTTTGAAAATCTTATTCAGTACGTTCTAAGGGAAATCATAAATTTGTAATTTCTAGTTTATCATTTTAGTAGAATGAGAAACAACATGTTGTGATCTCTAGTACTGAACTTGTGGAATGCAGTACATTCACCTGGAGTTGCACCAGTGTGATAGAGCTGTTAAGAGAGGGCTTGTGTATATGTTGCACAAAATGTACATAGCTGTCTTACCCTTCCACCTGTATTAAAACATTAAAGTCATTCAGATTCCAGTGTAAAATCTCTTCTGTTGTCCGTGGGGGTTAATATAAGAAAAGGTAGGTTCAGATTTCCAATTCTCTTCAATACTGTGTTCTTAAAATGAACCCATAATTTCCAGTGATCCCAAATCTTTTTGTTAGTCATGACACTGTTATTTATCCATTTAGCTTAGAGTAGGTGTAAGTGGTGTGAGAAAAAAGAATCGAGGACAGACTTCCAAAGAAAACAACTCATTTGGGGAATTCATTCCATCTGATCATAAACTAGTTGTTATTCCCGTTTGCCTGGAAAATTGGATCTTTCAGATATTTTGCTGTGATATGGATTATCTCGTGGGCCAGTTCTAGCCCTGTAACATCTGGGTTTTTTCCTCCCCTAAAGTTCTCAGGAAACTTTCATTAATGGCCATGATATTCAGGTTTTTCACTTCCCTCAATAACCTGTATTTCTGCAGCTACTTACTGGACTTTGGGAGTGGTACGTTTGCCCTTAACGGCAACAACTGGTGCACAGGCTGCCTAGTTTTTCAAAGTTATTCAAATTTCAACTTTACAATATTAATGGGAAATAAAGACTCTTTCTGTGTGTAATAGCTCCACAAAAAAAATCACAGTAATCTTATCAAGTTGAACTAGATAATCTGTTTGCCTAAATTGGCTATTGTTACATCAGATAATGCAGTAACTAAAAGCCTCTTTAGGCTACTTAATAGTGCAGAACATGGAGGTTCTTTTCATTATGAAAGTGACTTATTGAACTTGCATTGTAGCTGCTTGTAAGCTGCTGTAACTGGGAGGAGTTTTATTCATCTCGGGAGGATTGTGCTTCTAAAAAGATGCTTTTTTTTTAAGTAAATTAAAAAAATAAAAAGCTCTGCAAGAGAGATTAATAGAGATGTCAAAATGTGAGTCCTACTACTGTGTAGAATACAGAACGGATGCCTGACTTCAGTATTACTTCTTGAGAGTAAAACCTGTGACTTTCAAAGTAGAGCAGATGATATATTATAACAAAACATTTAATGGTGAGTTTAGTAGGTTTTTAAAAGACAAGGCCGAAAGGGTGGTGGTGGGGGGTGTACTGTGATACTCAGCACAGGACACTGTACAGGGCCCTGCAGGCAGAGCAGGAGACGTGTGAAAGAAGCAGCAACTCTGCTGTTAATTCTGTCAGGGATCAACAGCCTGGTGGCATGGAACTTGAGTCCTGGGCAGCTGAAAACACCACCTTAGGGGTTGGTTATCCAGCAGATAGTTAAGTGTGCAGTGACTTTGGACAGCAGCCAGCAAGAAGTTTGAGCAATTCCCTGATGTTAAACTGACTTACACTCTTTGCTTCAGAGTCATTTTCCTGCCAGTGTGCATATAGGTGGACTGTAAGCATTTTAGCTTTGAACCAGAACCACTAGATGCTTCTGGTATTACCAGGAAGTCATATATCAACATCAGGGGCTCACTGAGAGATTGTCACTTCTGCATTGTGGGTGTGGGGACAGGCAGTACCAGACCTCTGCTTTCAAGGTTGGATAGGAAGAAATCCGGGGAGCATCAGGACAGGATTTTTTGGCAGACCACGGGGTGAAGATGTGTCTCTGCCTTGCCTGGCTTTACAGTTTTTGCACTTTTGTTTCTCAGAAGCAATAGGCAATGAGTTACCAAAAGCTTCCACCAGTGCTGGGCAGATGTCTTTCTCTGCTGACCCATTTGCAGGATGATCTGCTCTGCACTAAGTAATATAGACAAGTTGCCTGTTTGCCGCTTTAGCCAGGTGAGTATCACAGCAAAGCTTCCCTGAGTCCGGGACGAGATTGTTAATTACAGGAACAGGATCATGCCTCAGATCTGTGATGATTTCCAGCAGATGAGGAAAGGTATGTCCCAAGATCACCTTCCTGGAGACGTGTACTAAGCTTTACTCCATATCTAGTAAGACTGGTAATTAATATGAGCTCTGTTACTGACTGCAGCGAAGACAACAGAAAGCACTGTTGGGATGTCACCACCCCTGAGCAGCAGCTGTGTGACTCTTTCTCTGCTGGTGATGGCTGTGGTTCCAGGGGCATGCAGCCCTTACTGTAGGGACTTGCAGCAAATGGGTGAGGACTGTGGATTTGTTAGGGATCAGTGACTCTTGCAAGCAACTCAGCCTGCTTAACGTCTTGGAAGGCACATGCATTCCCTTCTCTCACCCAGCATCTGCATTACAATTTTACACCAATAGGAGGATTTTTGCCAGGATAGACATTTACTGCAGTTGTAACTTCTGTAATTGAAGGTGAAAAGATCCTGAAAATAAAGTTGTAGCTAAAGTACCTGATGAAATTGAGAGAAACCTCAATGTATACATCTGGGCTTAGCCCTGCTCCCCTTTCAATATAACAAAAAATTGGTGGCATTAGGCCATTTTGAACATTAATTAATTAACTACAGGATCACTGTACATCAGTGGAGTTTTAACAAAATATTACATTTCAGTAAGCTGCTTCTTCCCCCAAGCCTGGCGCATGGTCTGTGCCCATTACCTCCTTTCATTTAGAAACACTAATAACGTTGACAGGAGACCTGTTTAAAGTGCACCAGGCCTGACCCTTGTCAGTATTTGTCTGCGTTAATGGCAATGGCTGGGGAAGTGTTCCAGGGTATAAGAGGACTACTCTGCCCTTTCCTTTTTGCAATATATGGAATTGAGAGCTAAGCAGAAAGTATTTAATTTTTATATTGTCCCTATTCCAGAATTCAGGGTAACACTCACACCTCTGACCCGTTATCATCCTTGGGATGTGAAACAGATGTCCGGTGCATCAGGAACAATAGCAGGGTGAGGGAAATTTGTCTTATCTTTCCTTTAGTGACCTTAAAATGATAACTGAAAAAGAGACACCTTCTGTTCAACATTCACATGCAACTTCCATTAGTCCTGCAAAGCTGTCCCTCTATTCTATAAGAATTTCCTATTTTTTATTGTTATTAAAGAGCAGGAACATGGTAATTTAAAATTACTCCTTGCTTTCATTTGCAATGACAAAAAAAAAAGGGGGGGGGAAGGTGTGTTTCAATAAAAGAGCTTCTGAAATAGAAAAATTAATGCCTTTTGTGCTGGAATAGAGCAGCAGACCTATGGAAAGAATAAGGTTCTGTGTATCTGTTGTAATTGCACAGAAGAGGAGCTGCCAATAGCATAAACTACTTATAGTCATTTAAGGAATTCTGATAACTGTCCACCTAAATGCAGTGTATTTCCCTCAGGAAACAGAAAAGAGGTTTTATTGCACTCTGGTTTTCCTCCTTTCAGTAGCTTCTGAAAATTATGTATGCATGGATATTTCTACTTTAATCATATTTTATAATTTTTAACTATTACTTAAAACTCAAATTCAGTGTAATCAGCCCATCTGTTAGCGATGGTTGTAAAATTATGGTGAAGATTAAAAATCTGATGCAGTGTCAAAATGTCCTAGCATAATTAAGCTTGTTTTGTGATGAATGACTAGGATATGGCTTTTGTCTACTTGAGCAGCTTTAAAATGGTAAACCTTTTGTAGGCTTCATGTATGAAATGTGGAGGTATGTATAGCACACAAAGAAATCATTAAAATTAAAACCCCAGATCCTGTATTCATAGATGCGGTATCGTTGCAGGCCTCGGGAAATGCCAGCGGAGTTAATTCCACCTCACAACCACATTCCCTGCATTTTTCAGTCCATCAAATGCTACCTTGGCTCTACTCTCCTCCCTGTAGAACACCACCCAAACCAGCATTAAACGTGCAAGTTTGCCAAATTCATTATTCCTTTTAGAAAGGGCATGACCCGTGTGGGCACGGGTAGAAAACTGAGCACGGCCTTCACTTACTTACATGGATTGAGGGTCTTGCTAAACATACTCTGTTCTTCAGTATTTGGAAGCACTGCAACATCACCTAATCTACATACAGTAAGAAAGAGTTAACATTTTAAGCATTTTAATTCTGGCATTACTGTGAAACAGCTATATATAATCATCTCCACTGGAAAACCATTCTTCATGTGGACAGTTTTTATCCCTTTAAAATGTGTCCTTGGGAAAGAGAAAATAGCAGCCCATTTTGCAAAAATAAAAAACTGGATAAGTCCTTTATATAGTCTATGTGCTAAACTTCCTGCACAGTCTTCCTCCCCTACAAACTCTGCCTGCAGAGGAAGTGCTTTAACCTTGCCTTTATTCTTCATTCTAATTTTCAATAAACAGATGCCGCCTCTTTTCACGCTTGTTTCCACATTGTTCCACATTCTGCCTGTGTTGTTTCTGCATGCGTGAATATTCAATTATCTATTTCTCCATGATTCTGCAACTGATGTACTAAATGTCTGTACAGGTTTGGGGGGAGGGTAACCAGAGAAGGCAAAACTCAGAGGAAAAAGTTACAGAAGTTTGAACTATTCCGAGAGCCAGGTACTTGCCCTGAAAGCTAAGGAAATCCTAAGTCACCACTAGAAATGCAGGGATTACAAAACCACTAGCGTGCAGAAGCACACTGGCTCATAACATACAAAGAAAGTATTTCTTTGGTCAGCATGTGGGTGTGAAATGCTCGATAGAGACCAAAGGGGCAAAACTGCTTCTGGCAGTTGTGTCCTTTTTAGATAAAATGCACAAAGCAGCTGATTGCCATTGTGGTTATTTATAGCTAAGAAGAGCTTACATTTTAGGACTCAAAGGTGAAGTCTGCTGTATAAAGGATGAAATACCACTCTTTCTGGGAATAGCCCAAAACAGGAGCTCATAGCAGTGCTCTGAAGACCTTGTGGCCCAAAAGCCAACTTGCAGATGTAAGTAGCTTTAATCTGTAAATATAAGGAATGCAGGGCACAGAACTGCACTGGCTCCCAAACTCCGTAGTTAGTACCTGCTGCTGCTGCATTCACGTGTCCAAATACCTCTTTCCTGAAGCACGAGCGAGTTCTCACCGGAGCCTGTGCCATTACCGTGCATGCTCCCAGCATGGAACCCCAGCTGCTCCCATGCTGTGCTGATCAGGCTCTAGTAATGGAACCATCAAGCATGCAAATATTCTTAATATGGGCAGTTGTAAGGCTCTGTGGAAGCCATTGCCTGCAGGACTCCTGCCAGCCCTGCTCTCCCCCTGCTGCCCCCAGCAGAGACACCCCCCTCCCCAGCCGGAGCAGAGCCGCTGCTGACACCAGTGTGCTCTGTCTGCTCGTACATCAGCGCTGTGCTCTTTTCTTCTTACCTGGCAATAACTAACTGGTTTGTGCTCGCCTGGCGTGGGCTGTATGGCATTTTCTGGCTTCAGGGGCAGCAAAGCACCCCCATCTGTCCTGTAGGTCCTGCAACAAAAGCAAAAAGACCCAAACAGGAAAGCAGGGCACAAAAACTTAGGGGCTGTGAGGTTGCCGTGAAAGATTTCTCTGCAATCAGTGGAGCCCACTGATTAAGAGCCAGAGCAGAAACCTGACACTAACAAACAGGAGCATATGTGTTGTCCTGAGGCTCTGTGGCTGTGGTACCCTTAACTAATTTAATGCAGTCGCACAGCTGTTTAAAACTGCTGTTCACCAGTACAGACAATTGGTGGTAATAACTGCAACAGTAAAAGCATCTAAAGGGCAAAACATACATGATAAATAACTTTCTTGCCACACACTCCTGCCTTTCAGTCATTGTACCAAGAGGCACGTGCTGCTGGGCAGTAGGAGCCTGCCCCTCCACTTCTCAAAGCCAGGCCTCTGTCACAGTTTGCTGCTGCCACTCAGTAGTCAGTCAGATCCATCAGAATCTCTCCACTTGCTCCTCGGAAGGAGCAGTTTAGAAATTGTCCCATCGCTACAGCTGCGGTAAGCTATGAGGCCTGGGAATAAAGACCTCAAAACTAAGATGACAAACACACAATATACTTTGCACTATTGTCTGGAAGCGTGCTTGGCTTTGCAAAGGCTGAAAAATAATTCTCCCAGCACCCGCAAAATAAGAAGCGTCTATCAGATCTGTACCGGAGTGAAAGCCCATCACTTACCTGGTGTGGCACCTCCAGGAGGAGGCTCAAAGCGCCAAGGATCTCTACACACACATTTTGGTTATTTTAGTCACCCTTCCCTTGAAAATGAGACATGCTATGTTTGTGTCCCTGCCACTCACACATCAGTAGAGCTTTGAATACTTGCTAGGCTTAGGCCCTGCAGCCCACACGGGGCATAAGGCAGATTTTAAGTGGCCTCTTAGGAGGACTGGCCCTTGCACGCTGATGTCCGGGAGACCAAAGAAACTAAGACAAACAAACAAAAAGTCCTCCAGACAGCTCCCACGGAGTCAGAGAAAAGTACTGCCTGGATGTAGGGAGAAGGGAGATGCTGTTAGCACTCAAGATAGTGTGCCAGGCAAACACTGTGGAGCTGCAGCTCCACTCTATGTACCGAGAGTGAGAAAGCCCAGCAACAAAACCCCACAGAACTTTCTAACCTGAAAACTACTGGGAAAGGAAAGGTTCTGCAAGCACACAGCCCAGCTGGAGACTGAAATGGTGATAAAGTTCGCCTCCTTGTGTCGCTAACCATCCCCTTACAGGTTAAAAGCTGCATTTGATTTGGAAACATTGCTCAGCGGACAAAGTCAAACCTGTTCCTGCCCAGCAAGCGCAGGCTACTGCTGCAGCATATTCTGCATGTGGCATCTGCATGAGCATCAGTAGGAATATCAGAGGTCTGCTCAGGCAGCACAGTGGCAGGGAATGGATCAGTAGGTAAAGCAGAGAAGTGCATAGTACCCATAAATCATAAATAGAGATTTAATTACATGCTTGATTAATATTTACAAACATTGAAGTTGTTGTTAGATATGTAAATAAAACACAGAAACAAGAGACAGGGGCTGCAGTAGCCAAGCAAAGCCAAAATACAACAGGCTGGAGTATTTATTGTGAACTGGCATATGTCTAGAGTAGGGGATGGAGACACACTACATAAACTGAAAGAATAAATAAATAAATATTGACATTGTTCTACACCCGTTTAGCCTCTGGAGACCAGTGATTTGTGGGACCATATGCTGGATGAAATGAGACTGTTCATTGATAATTGTAAATGTGGTGACCCCTTGCAAACTGGATATTAAAAATATTAAGTAAATGGCACATTTTAATTATACAGTAAGGAGGCTGTTCTCCACCATTAAAAGACTGCAGCTGTCAGGAGGAATTGATCATATGACAGAAGGTAACATTTATTTAATAGTAGGACTTGGTAAATGACATCCCAAATGATCTTTAGATTCTCAGACAAACACATTCAGTTGAGACTTGGATTCAACCATGAGGCTTCAGTGTCTCTGTCTTTCAGCTAAGACAATTTTTATCTGTTCCTCATTTACCATAGAGCTAGTTTGGTTTTTATTTTTCTTTTAATCTGCTTTGCAGTATTTAAGTGTCAAATGAAGTATTATTAAATGAGAAACTGTAAACGATGGAGTTCGGAATTGGAAGTCAATACATTTGTTATTCTTTTTGCCAAAGGTATCGAGTAAGTTGCATAATTACCACAGTACTATATCATCTTTGTCAACATAAACAGAGCTTTATATAGGCTTTGAAAGTGCCATTGGTGAACAACTGAGCGTACAGACTCCAAAGAAGAGCAGCCCAGGAGGAGCTGAGAGCATTCACAATGCCTTATGAAGTTGCATAAGGAAATGAAGTAGAGACAGGTAGCAAGTAGTCACCAGCAGAAATGCCCAATGCTCTCATGTAAATGCTTCTACACCTGAGGCAAAGGAGAGAAACTGCAGACAGTTTTTGTAGCTTCCTTCCTGCCTACTGTGATCCAACTTTAAGACAAATGTGTGAAGGTAAAGCAGCAGCCCGTGTGGATTGATTCTTCTGATGCCGAGAAACCCTTCTATACACAGGGTTTGATTTTCCCTCCTCTCCACTTCTGATTTTATGAAGTGCACATTCCTTGTCTCACATTGTGCCGATCCTGTGGTGAGGCACTTGCAGAGTCTGAAGGTTGGGGCAAGTAAAATAAGGAGCTGGAAGAAAGCATGCTGCTATTCCATTGGAAGCGAAGGGGAGTGTAGGCCCATAGAACACTTCTTCCTTCCCTTCCTTGCTAACATCCAGCACCTGGAGGTCAAAGCATACAAAATATTTCAGGGATCATAGAAGAAAGATGAAACAAATTTGCTGGCACACACCACATGTATTAACCACAACAGAAAGGTAGTTTCAGCTCATTTTTAGATTGCATTTATGGATCTGGTGATGTATTAGTGTCCTCATCACCCAAATCTTAATGCTAGTGCAGGCACGTAGTAGAAGACAGGAGACATTGGATTCTGCTTCCTGGCAGCAGAACGTACAACCGTGCAAGTAGGGTACCTCTGCATAGAGGTGCTACTGTTACCACAGGACATGAACCACTTGTCAGCTTGGTGGTCTATAGGGAGCTCTGTGGAAGCTGGAAAGGCCAAACAAACGACAGAAAGAAAATGAAGATGTGTGGAAGCAGTGGAATTTTTTTTCTTCCAAAGTAGAGTTCAACCTCAATTTTGCTGAATTTGAAGATAACGGGGTTAGTTTTGCTGGTTAAAGCCAGGCACACTGCCAACAACTGGGAAGGGGCAGTGCACACAGCTCTGCCAAAGCACTCATTATACTTCTTTTCCCTTGAATGTGTGGATTGTCTTGGCACGCTGCCAAGTTCATGACCAGTTTGGGGATGTGGACAAATGTCCATTTAAGAAAGCAAGATCCCAGGATCATTTGTACTTGTCACTAAGCAGTATTTAAACCCAGGTGCAATACAGCAAAGTACGTGCTGATTACAAAAGAGCACGTTGGTGGAGTACAGCCACCACCTTGATACTCTGCTATTACTCCATTTGAAGCACTGTATGTCAGCTAATGTTATCCTGAGCCAGACTGAATGACTTTTTCCAAAAACAATTATTAGGTATGGTATCCAACAACTTAGTAAAACACAATTATGCTATGACCAGAACATGGTTTGAACTGCTTATCTATTCTTTACAAACACGTGCTAATAAGTGGTTTATTATAATACCAGCAGCTCAACATCTAATACATTGCCTCTTTATGCTAAGTCTAACTTATAGTCTTATGGGACAGTTTGGAGGTGAAATCCTAAAATCCAAAAAATTGGAAGATAATAAAAATTTTTTTATCAGCAAAAGTGCAGAAACTGAGATGTAAACAAGAGTTTCTGTCTGTAACTGCCCAGCTGGTCACAAAGCGATGGCTGTGGTGCAGATTTGTTTCACTCAAACTCTCAGGAAGGTAACAATTCCTAATTCCTGTACAGGAATACCTAAAAGCCATGGATCTGCAGGCGAGCTGCTTTTATATAAGATGAGATAGCTGAATTTTGTTGGACAACCTATTGCCTACCGCAGGGATCAAAAACCTTCCGTTCAAGCTTTGAAGCAGTAAGCGCTAGGGCAGGTTGCAGGCTGACTGAACTTTGACAAAGAACAACTTGTTGACTCTGGCTGCTCTTCAGAAAGACAGCTTGGAGAGGAAAAGAAAATGAAATCATAGCGTGCTGAAAAAATTGTTAGCCTGTGCCCCACCATCCATATTTGCAACCCTTTAACTTTTGGAGTTTGTTTAACCTGAGACTATATACCCATTATTTTATCCAAATTTTGCCAAAGGAAAGACTCCTCAATCCTATTTTACTAGAATACCTTAGAAGAATTGCATCTACTGGCTCATCTGGAAATATTTTTAATATCCACAGTATTTCCTCTCTGTGTTTATGCAGATTCAGAGGCTGCATAAGAAACATCCTTAATCTCTCCATTTCACATGCATTTTTCTTTTTGAATAACCTCTGTGCAAAATGTATCCTTGCAAAAAAATTATTGGAAAAGACTTTAAAAAAACCCTAAATCACTCACCTGGATACATGCCAAAGGCTCATTTGTCCAAATCGAATAGCCACCAACTAAATATATTCTACCATTGTGGACGGCAACTCCAGACTCATTTTGACCTAAAGCAAAAGAAGAAAATAGAAACCACTATCAGTTTTTAATTAACCCTTTTAACACCGAATATTGGAGTTCTGTAATAAGATGCAAATGCCCCTGGCAGTAATCTGACTGTTTCAGAATTCACAACATGGAAGAGTGAAGGTGAAGCATGAGGTCTGTTCTTTGCTCTCTGCGAGAGCCCCGTACGGTGCTGTCCAGAGAGATACCCCAGAAGAGCAATAAACTGAGGCTGTGCAGGGGACCATCTGCTGCCTCCTCAATGACACAGGTTTTTGCATGCGTGAATTTCATAGGTGATATGCAAGCTCCCCACCTGCCTCTCCGCTACTATCACACATGAACATCCGGATAGACACGCAGGCCGAGAGAGCTGAACGCTCCTCACATTCTGCCCACAGCTGTTCACCCCCCGTTCCTCCAGGTACAAGTATGGTGACAACTGCAGAAGCTGCTGTGCAGCTCATCCCCATAGCAACAGTCTCCTGAACAAGTTTGAAAGTTCTGAAGGATAAACACAGCCTTAAGAAAACCTGCATTACACAGCGCAACAGGCGCATTTAACAGTAGTTGCAGAGATGCAAAGAATGGCTTAGATGGCTTCTGAAGATGCAGGTTGTGCAAACAACCCACCAAGTTGTTATCTGAGGAGAGGCTGCTATCTCACAGCATTTAGTGATACAGGGTCAGCTCCAGAATGAGGGTGCCTGCAGTGCCAGGGCCTTTGGAGTTGCAAATCAGGCTGTCAATACCTCCAGATAATGAAATTTAATAATAATATAAAAACTGGACAGCAAAAGGGATATGAAAAACTAGTTCTGTTTCATAATGTATAACTCCTTTTTAATCTATGCCTCTCTCCCCAGTGTCCATCAAATATTCTGATGACTTGACTCAGAAACTAAAACAACCTTTCTCCACAGATTAAGAAAGCCAATGAAATATCTTAAAGAATAAAGTTGCTGCTAGAGCAGCTTTTCAACCTACCAGGAGGAAAATGACATAAGGTGACTGTCTTATTTGTCAGACATTCATTGCTCTGACATGCTGCTTCTAGCTAGCCTGAGCTTCTTAGTTAAGCTCCTACGTCCTTTGTGTCCTTTTCAGTGGTAGATCTCAGAAATCAATGCAACGCAAAACTGAAAAGGATGAAAAGTGAGGTAGTCTCAGTCCTGGGACTCCTCCTGTAGCAGCCAGTACTGTTAGTAATTGAGCTCCAAGTCTGCTGCACAAGAGAACGGCCCCAACATTAATGCTGTCCTGTCCTGGAAATCCGTCCTTTTCTGCAAAGCTGAAGTTGATGCTACTCTGAGAGTGTGTCACATGCCTGTCTCTCCCAGGGATTCAAGGGGGTAGTACTATGGGAATTATACCAGGTGGCAGAGAAATTTGTGGATTGGGTGGCAGGGACTGTGAGTTGCAATGCTTGCAAGTTACTACTGTAACAGTTCTTCCTAATGACGGTGAACTTCACAGATCCTGTAGCTAGCTGAGCTGCTCAGCTCGTCCCTGACTTGACAGAATTCCAACAAAGACACCTCCTTTCAGGTAATTTATTAAAAAGGTACCGTTCAGAAATAAGTGACAGTTAATGGATTTCAGTGGAAGTTTTGCCCTGTAATGCCAGCAGAAAGCACTACAAACCAATGTTATCATGGTAGAGACACATCTGCCTGTTGTAAGTCTCAAATAGGGAGCTAAACCCATCACTGCTGGCAAGCTTCTGGAGAATCAAAAGTAAGAACCGGTAGTACTATGACAAATTCTTTTTGATGGTTTGATTAAATTTATGTGCACCTTCTTAAAAATTTAGTCTACGACATGCTAAAACAAATGTTTTGTACAACACTGAATGCCAGAACAGTAATCAAGTGTCTTGTTGGCTAATGACGGTCCTTAAATCGGAAGCAATTGCAGCAAAGTCATGGAGCTCCACACATTAAAGGCATGTAAAGGGACAAGAAATTATGTTTTATTTTAATAGTAGTCAGTTTCCCCTTCTGGTGTACAATACTTACCTGTCAACATGTTGAAGCTGCAGCGTGTCCACTGGTCAGCATCTATGCTGTAGGAGTCTATGTGCCGAACAAGGATCCGATCGTTGTTGTAGTCAAGATCATTCCCGCCTAACACGTAAAGTTTCCTTTGCACAGCAGCCATGGAGTGATACACTCTCCTCTGCAACATTGGGCTACGGCTTAACCACTTATTCTGGAAAGAAAAAGACAGAACTTGTGTCAGCACTGCTCAGAGACATACATATAGTAGTAGTAAAGTAATAGTAGCACGTTGCTGGTGTTCTCCTTACCCTTGGCCAGAAATCACAAGTGAATATACTTGTGTTGTTCACATGTTAAACATGCCTGTTGGTTATAACGCTGACTAGGCATACTGGACTTTCAACATATGGTTTACAGTTATCACATTTAAATTCACTAATTTAATAGTATTTCTTGCTCTGTATTTTTTCTGTTTAGCTCATCAGGTTTCAAAGCTTTTTTCCTTCTTCGTAATTTAGCAGCAAATAATCCTTAAGGAAGACTACTAGATGTCTCCTTTGTACACAGTGCTAAAATTATCTGTACCAACTAGCTCTGTTACGAGAGAAGGGAGACTCTTCTACCTTTCGTTATTCAGAAGCTTATTTGATCTTATCCTTGGGGAATGAAGCAATCGGGAAAAATAATTTCCTAAAGTATCTTCTCAAACGATTCATGTATTTGGTTTAATGCTAACCCTTTATTTGTGGGCACTTACAAAGTAATGTCTTTTTGCATATTTTTCTTTCTGGTTAACAATACTCAAGAATTATACCTGTTCAGGGGAGGGGTAGGAGGGCACAGAAGAAGAGGGATTAAAGCATGGGATTTTAAACCTAAGAAAACAATTGCTCCTGCTATGCTTACCAAATCAAACAACCTGACAACGGATGAGATTAATTGGTTTAAGTGAAGGAAGTTAAAATCTGTGAGGAAATTCTCTGTGTTACATGTGCTACCGCTTGTGGTAACTCAAGAGCCTCTACTACTACTGCCTTTTAACCTCCGCAATATATAGCTATACATTTCAATGTCTAATAGTTGGATATTAGGCATTAATGTTTGCATTAGTAGTCCAGTCTCTTAACACCAGACTATAGACACCATCTGCTTTGCAAAGCCTGCCTGCATCCCCTGATTATATCTTTAGCTTCCTCCACTGCAGTGCCTGCCAGGTGAGCCGCAAAGCACTGCAAAGGCAAAGAAACAGAGGGGCCTGGTGGGGTCATTTCTAATAAGCCGGCGTGTGAATACTAATCAGTGGTGGGGAAGCAGAGGTCACCCCAGCCGGCTTGCTGGCAGGTAGCTGTGTGCTCTGTGGCAGATGGCAGGCATTATCGACTCGCCACAAAGGCCTCGCGCAGAAGCAAGCGCTGGTGCTGAATGATAGAGTTATTGAGATTCTGTGCGAGATGCAAGCAGATGTGATGGTTTCCAGTACCCACCGTAAACAATATGCCAGCAGAATTTTTAAAAAGAGCTTGTGTGTACAAACACGGAGCGGACCTCATTTGAAGAACGCGAGCGCATAGTTCCTCTGTAACTCTTTACACACCAGGCCAGGCTTCTCGCTGTTGGCACGACACGCTGAAGTAGCCCTGCCACTGGTATTCTGGGGTACAACTTTCACATTGGCACATAAAGAATCAAAGCCAAATATATACACAATAGAGAGAGAGTAGCTAAACACGTGTCCTGCTCACAAGCAAAGTAAGGGTGCTGCCTGTAATTACTACTTGATTTTAGCACAGAATCGGCATTTGTACAATCGATGCATAAAACTGCACCTCAAAGAGAAAGAGGCAGGTGTGTCACTTCCTGCTCTCTGCTTCAGGACCTGTGCATTTAGTAAGGCAGAGGGAACCACACAGAAGTGTCTCCTGGCACAATCTGGTTCCAAATACAGCAATCAAAGCCCCTATCCTACAATCAGAAAAGTCAATACCCTTCCACGCGGGTCTAAATCAAGCTATGCAACTCTGATTGCAAGCTTAGGACTTTTAATTCCTAATACAAGCAAGAGGGCATAACCATGCCCTAACCCTCTGAAATGGTTACTGAGCCATGCTAACCTAATCAAAACACATACATAATGTATGAAATAATCCCTAAAAGATATTTTAGGTGCTTGGGTAATGAAATGATAGGCACCCTTGCAGCCAGCAGAATAAGTCATGGCCAGGTAGTATAGTTCTGAAAGTATGCAGAAAACAAAAAGCCTGTGTACAAAATTCAAAGCCGAAATGCCAGTGACAAGGAGCAGTTTTGTGACATTGACTTTAAGTATACATTGCCCAGGGCTGCTGGATTACACAAAAAGTGAACAAGCAAAATAAATACTGATAAATACAGGGGATTTAAAGCACATTTCTGTATTTAATCTAAGGTGTTTCTAATGCCTACAGGCTTAAAAAAAATAAGTCAGTTTCTCCATTACTCTGTTAAACAAACTCATACATCAGTACAAAGTGGATTTAAAACATCACTAATGCAAATGGTCAATATTTTTAGCCTTGCAAAATCATTGTATTTATTTGCTAAGAGACCCGATTGAAGCAAAACATATGAGAAAAAACACACACAACACAGATACCCACCTGCTTGGGATCATAGACCATGAGCCTGTTTTGATACTGTGCAGTATTTGTTACTCCTCCTATGAAAGAGTTTATACAGGTTACATTTTTTCGTATAAGCAAAATGAGGACCAAGATCAGGTACAGCAAAATAACCAATTCCAGGGCTCATTTGCTGACATAATTACATTGCATAGCACCACTTATGTTTACATTCCACCACACTTTTTAATCTAGATACAAGAGAACAAATGGCACATTTGTCAAACATCTAGAAACACAAAATAGCAACAAACACACCCCCCTCCAGGCACACATCCTTTGTAAAGCTAATTCTATGGGCTAAAAATGAGATAAAAATTGATCTGTTCATAAATGACTGTGCATTCAGCCATTGTTAAGACACAAAGATAAACCACATCCCTGCTCAAGGAGCACAGAGTTCCTTGATGTGCATGTGGCACAGTTTAAAGGAGGAGGAGGTGGCCTTGCATCTGAGAGAAGGAAGAGGTTGGAAAGAAGCTCTGCCTAACCAGGAATGTGATGCAGGACACTGCTGCCAGCTGGAAAGCATAGAGCAAGCCTGTAAAGCTGTGCTTACCTGCATATTTGAAGGAAATCCTGTATTATAGAGAGAACATCTCCTGGCTTAGTTGTAGACTGGGAGGTTCCTCCATAGTCACCAGAAGCAACACTAGCATTTACTTTTCAATAATGTTTAAGCAAGATACAAAGCACCTCAGAAAAGCCCAGAATAGTGTCTGACCCCAGTAGATGCTGCAAACCAACCATTTAGCTCAACACAGTATACATTTAATGCCCAATCATGCTGTTCTCCCTTGGTTTTAAACGGCAAATCTCACTGGTGGAAAAATTCTTATGTCTCAAGTCTGTAATCTTCCCTGTGTAAACATGTTCTGGAGGGTGCTCAAGCCTCCTGGGGACATGGTGTCATTGCATCATGACCACAGGTCCCAGTCCCCCTGCTGTCACCACCCTGGGCTCATGGGAAGGTGGGACCTCAAACAACACCCGAGAACTGCACCTCACCTTTCATCCTCCCAGAAGGGCTGGACATCACCAGGGCATGCCAGTGGCTACAAACCAGTGAAATTCATATAGACAAACTATTTATATTACAGTTTTAACAGCATGTGCTGATGACAGACAAAATCCACAGCAACGAAAGAAAGGAATTTCATCTGTCATTACGTTTGCTGATGCTTCTCTTTTTGTGAGGGCATCTCCTGCTTCAGACAGAGCGGTGGCAGAGTTGCTTTCATTTCTGCTGGCTGGCCTACAGCCCCGGCCTACGAGCGGTGGCAGAGTTGCTTTCATTTCTGCTGGCTGACCTACAGCCCAGTCCTACTGAGGCCACTGGGTCTTTTTCCAGTGTTAGCATGGCTCTGTGCTGGGGAATCCTGACTTTGCTGGCCTCCAGCTGCACCTAGCACAGCATTTTGGTTCAGAGCCATATTGTGATTTTGAAGCAACTCCCCACCTCTCACGTGTCATTTTAGGCTGTAAATGGTGTGTATTCAAGTTAAACCAGAAGCTTTGCTTCAGGTGTATACCAGCTGTGCTCCAGTTCCTAATGGGGAGTAAGGATGTGATGGCTTTGTACCAGCTGAGTACTGGGAACATTTGGTCCAGAGAACCAGAACAAATATAATCCAAAGCAAAAAATGTGAACTGTACATGGAGTAGGTAGATACAGACAACTCGTCACCAAAGTTTTATCTCCTGATCTGCTCCTACTGGGCTGAGCTACTTGCTAACATAGATGTACCCACTGATCACTGCAAATTACTCAAGTGAGGCCAAGAATCTGATCAATGAATAGTAGAAACTACAGACAAATCTATCCAAGAGTCTTGTCTTCAACTGCAGTAGCAGGAAGGACTAACACTGTTGTTTGGGTGCATCTCTGCAAGCACCAGCCTGTACTGGGTCTACACTTGGATAGGAGCACAAACTCCTCAGAGTTGCTTACAGGCTAAGAGACAGCTGAGATGAGATGTACTCTTTCCAAACTGCTTCCATCATACTCTGCCACACACTGCCCAGCATAGCACCTGTGAAGTACACACGCAAGAATATGCATTGGAAAGCAGATACTGTTCCCGTGTCTAATCCCACAGCCTGTTATTTGTCACTGCCCCCTTGTGCAGCCTTCACAGTGTTAGTGGCCATCAGCCACATGCACAATACAATCTTCTCTAATACCTGTTTTGTAGTTTGATTTTCTTTTACATAGTTATTTTCACTCCTAGCATATTGTTTAAAAATGAGATGTCAGATTAGTATTTTGAAAAATAAAGATCATAGTTATTTGGGTGGTTACCTACAGAATGTTAAATTACAAGAGATATTGGAAACACAATGCTGGGTCACATATTTCCATTCAGAAAGGACACCTTAATTTGTGGGGAAAGATACGCAGGAAGAAGAAAAAGAAGGGGTTTGCTTCCTTGTGAAATAATGAAATAAGCAAAAGTATTTGCTTCTCTTCACAAAGAGCCCCTCATACCAAGTACACAGCTTACGTTTTCTTCCCTGCAATATTGCTCATCTGTGGTGTTTTATCATTACATTCCCTTCACATATCGCTCTTCACTTTTAGATTAATCTGCCAAAATGAGATGCTAAGGATTTGCATACAGATTTGACTACACAAAAATAGATCTGGAATTAATAACAGTCTCTATATGTTTTAATTTCTTCTAGACTGGAGTACCCTTGCCTCCAGCAGTATTCTTGGCTTTGAAAGTCATCAAGCTGATTTGTCTGCTCTTAGGTTATGATGCCACATGCTGCTACACTGTCCCCTGCAATCAAAGTGCTTGCAGAGATAGATTCCATGCCTTCCCCTAACAAGTATATTTTATAGATTGGCAGTTTTGATCTCCCCTCCCCAGGGGGATAATCTGCATCTTAACAGGTTTCTATAGATACATCTGTCATTAAATATGCCATCTTATATCTGCATCAATTTTCAAACTCGAGTTCCTCCTAACTTTGAAGTGCTATAGCAAAAGTTTAAAATTTTCTGCCAAAATTCAAATTTAACAAGTCTGCAATGCCCTCTTGAACTATTTTTTTTTATTTTTAAATACTCCAGGCAGCCGAGAAAGGGCAAAACAAGAGCAGCCTCTTAAAAACTAGGAAAAGGGAAAAAAAAAAGTTTCAATGGTACTAAAAATAATACACGTTTTCTCAGGGAAATAAAAATTAAAAATGGGGTAATTCCAAGACAATTTCTTAAACTTCTCTGCAGTGTTTTCTGTCAGGAAAGGAGTGGAAAGGCAGGGAGGCATCATAACAACACTTGAAAAGAAGTATTTAAAAATATAAACCATGCTATTAAATTTTCATGTCAAGCTCGTGGTAGTAACCCATCAGTTAAAGAAAGGAAATAAAAAATGTCTGGTTGGGTAAATGACAGAAAATTAACAGCTTGGGCAGTGCTTGCTGGATTTTACAAACAGAGTGATGATTGCACCACATGAGCAGCTTGCCTTGAGGACTAGAGTTTCTTGGAGGCAAGGAGCATCCTCAGGACAAGCCCGTGTCTCTCTTGCTCTTGCAGACATGACAACATGCTCATGGAAAGCCCAGCATCCAACCTGTGGGCTTACAGTGTTTTTCCACTGCCACAGTCACTGTCCGCTGTTCATGCCCTTACAGGCTGTAAAGACTGCTTTTTAAGGCCTCCAAGATCCATAACTTCCCAACTCAGGCAACAGTGCCCTTCTACACAGGGAAGTTGCTGGAGGATTTCAAGATCCACTTTGTCCAGCCCTTCCCCACACATGGAAAATATTTTGGGTTGTTCCAGACCCCCACAAACTGCACTGAAAAACACCTTCAATAAAGACACTTCCAAAAGAGAAGAGTGGGAGGCAGTAGATTCAACACTATTTTCCCAGTAGAAAATTTATAATCCATATTTATAACATGTCCTAGAAAGACCCCCATATGACTTGAAAAATCTAATTCAATCCAAAACCCCCAGAAAATCTCACAACTCTCTCTGAAGTCCCCAAGTGCTAGGCTGCGTGCATGAAACAGAGTTCACTGGGAGACATGCAAAACTACATGTTGGCAAAGAGCTCCCATGTGTATTCCTTTCAGCAAATCCAGGGAATATACAGAATCTCATGACATGCACCCCAAGGCACTCTGCTATTTTAAAATAGAAATCTCTTGTCTTTTACATATCTGTGTGTTAAACACAAGATAATCCTTCCTCAACATGCAAGCCCACCCTAATGAGTCCCCTGGAAGACACCATCTCTCTAATTAACATTGTTCCACCCCAGATGCAATCCAGTTTCAAACAACAGGGACACAGGCCCTAGTCTGTTTGTAGGTAGGTTTTCCTAAATCATTAAAGCCTGACATCTACATTCAATCTAGAAAGAATCAATGGCATCAAACCTATAATGTCCATGCTTGAAAGGGTATGAGAACCATTATCTTTATTCAAACACTATAACAATTAACAATAGGCTGAGTTGGGGTTGTGTTCAGCCTGGAGAAGAGAAGGCTCTGAGGAAACCTTATAGCAGCCTTTCAGTATCTAAAGGGGACCTACAAGAAATCCGAAGAGGGACTTTCTATAAGGTCATGTAGTGACAGGAGAAGGGGGAATGGCTTTAAACGGCAAGAGGGTGGATTTAGATTGGATATTAGGAAAAAAAATAATTTCACCAAGAGGGTGCTGAGGTGCTGGCACAGGTTGCCCACAGAAGCTGTGGCTGCCCCATCTCTGGCAGTGTTCAAGGCCAGGCTGGACGGGGCTTTGAGCAACCTGGTCTAGTGGAAGGTGTTCCTGCCTGTGGCAGGGGGTTGGAACTAGATGATCTTTAAGATCCCTCAAACCCAAACCATTCAATGGTTCTGTCATTCTATGAATAGTAATTATAATCATAAAGAAATACTGTTCTATATATAGACTAAGACTGGGTCACTGTGGCAATTCTAATGTACTACTTAATCTCCTGCTCCCAGTAATTTCTGTGCTAGCCACACTGCAAAACCTGATTTGGTTAGATAGTGTAAATTGCTATTTATTCCAGGTTGATTTTTGATAAAAGGTTTTTATAGGCATTTACTGAGAAAAAAACTTCTTCTCCTAACAGCATACTGATAGTAAGGTGACACTTTCCACCCCAAACCACTTGCTAATTCAGAATAGTTCTCAAAGAACTATTGATGTGATCTCCATCCTTTCCTTAGTCAAAATCTCCACCATTAGGGGGAAAGTCAAGTTTCCGTGTGCAAGTCAGGATGTGATTTCACACATCCTGACACACTGTCAGGCAACTTGGACCTCTGCAAAACAACAGCATAATACTTTGCTTCAGAGAAGACTTTTCATGTGCTAATCTCTTAAGCATTTAAGGCAGAGGAGAAGCCTCCTTATCCCCAGCTGCAGGTGCATGAATGGCCCAGAGCTGAAGTGCCTGGCAGAGGGTGACTGCCCCGCTTTGTCCCCAGGGGCACTACACCTATATGGGAGAAGGAAGGTTAACTGTATAGAAAAGTAGGTCTCCAGATTTGCATGTGCATGGCACGGAGGATGCAGGGAAATTGGGCATAGTTCAAGTTTTCACTCTTGTGGAAAATATTTCCCTGCTTTTATAGGGAATAATTGTTAGCAGTGCTGAACTCTAATGGGTTTGGTGCATTTTGTTTCTCTTTCACTCAAATACTTTGCTTTTCAAGCATGTGGCATACAATTCATTTGTGAAATGGGTCACAGTGTCAGATGTTAACTGGGTCCTGTAAGATTCATTTTTCTACAAAATTTCCAAACCATCTGCCCAATGCTCTACTGTTAATATGGAAAACTTATTTGTTGTGGTTTAAATCCAGCCAACAACTAAGCCCACACAGCCGCTTGCTCACTCCCCCGCCGGTGGGATGAGGAAGATAATCATAAGAGCGAAAGTGAGAAAACTTGTGGGCTGAGATACAGTTTCATAATTAAAGCAAAAGCCGTGCACACAAGCAAAGCAAAACAAGGAATTCATTCACCGCTTCCCATGGGCAGGCAGGTGTTCAGCCATCTCCAGGAAAGTAGGGCTCCATTACATGCAACGTTACTTGGGAAGACAAACAGCATCAATCCGAATGTCCTTCCCTTCCTTCATCTTCCCCCACCTTTATATGCTGAGCATGATACCTCGTGGTCTGGAATATCCCTTTGGCCAGTTGGGGTCAGCTGTCTCAGCTGTGTCCCCTCACAGCTCCTTGTGCACCCCCAGCCTACTCGCCGATGGGCTAGGATGAGAGGCAGAAAAGGCTGCGACTCTGTTTAAGTACTGCTCAGCAATAACTAAAACATCCCTGGTGTTACACTGTTGCCAATACAAATCCAAAATATTCCAGCTACTATGAAGAAAATTAACTCAATCCCAGCCATAACCAGTACATTATTTTAATGAATTCCTTTTTTTTTTTTTTTAATAAGAAAATAAAATAGGAGGGCTACGAAAAAAATGACACAAATATAAAAATATGTTCTGCAATATATGGAGCTCAAAAACTCAAAAGCTGAACCCACTTGTTCTGACCAAAAGGTCCAGCTAGTACCAGAGCGCAGAAGGCTCTCTCTGAGCCTTCTGGCAGGTTAAAAACCCCAAAGATGTGGTGGCACCTTAGGAATCCCAGTGTCACCTGAAACACCGGCTACCCGTCTCCTATTGCCAGCATGTGCTTATGCTTGTACTGCATCTTGTTTAGCACATTTCCATGACTTTATGCTCTATTATTTTTTTTTCCTTCTCATACTTGTCCCAAAGAAGCAGCAAAGTAAAACTGAAAATGAATCCCAATAATAATAATAGAAATCCCTTAAGTCTAGTTAGCTTTTGATTAGCAAAGCCTTTAGAAGACAAGGGGCTGTAGCACAGGCACTGATGCTTTGGCTATAAAGTAAATGGCCGATGTGTGGGTCATATTTTTATGACTCTCTACAAAAATACAAGGGCTGGAAACTTGTATTATCGCTATTTAATTTAGTTACTTACTAAAAATCTGGGCACACTTTCATGGCTACCTTGCCAGCTGGTAGTAGCAGACTGACTTTGAGAACTCTCACTGGTGACCCGTATTTCCCAGAAAAAGCAGCAGGGATACAGCTCAGAAACATCCCTAATGCAGACTAATTTTTTAATTAGTTAATTTTAGGCCACATACTTCAAATTAGGTTGCCTCCTGCATTCGTGATTACTTTTATGCTAACACCTCATATTTGATGATGAACAGCGGATTTTTTCAGCAGTGACTACTGATATTTTTTGAGCAATAAAACATCTAACTATTCCCCTGCCCCTCAGTATACATGTACAGTGAGCTACATTCTGCCCCTAAGCAATTAATTAATACTAGAAAGCTAGCTACAGTTATTGCATCTCCATCTACTTTTATTTTTAAAATAACTCTATTCAATACACAGAAACCAGTTTTCAATCTTTGAGTACATAATTCAGATCAATACCCTACTGAAGTATTGCATAGTATGCTCACATACTTCATAATAACCTGTCAAAATCTAGCAACTCAAAACTGCTAAGCATTTTCTCAAAAACTATACAAAATACAACCAAAAAGTCCTGTCTATTTTATTCCACTGCCAAAACATTGCTCCTTACTGTGACTTTACAACTGAAGTTATGTTGGAAGCATTTTCAAATATAAATCGAACAATAGTGAAAAAATTCTTTTTGTTGGTTTTCCCACTTTTAGAGAGTTCATCTAATAGGCTTCCACTTACCTCTTATCCTGATTCTACAGCTGTATTAGAGGCATATCCTTGGACACAATACCACACTGCTTCATTATATAAATGCAGATAGTATTTAAACACACAGGGAGGCATGCATTGCACTTACATAACTAAGCACATTAATTGATCCTCAGCATAATTTTTCATGTACTGAAGCAAGGACCACACCCTGATGGATATTTACAGTGCTCTTTCAATTATTTCATATGAATATACTTAACACAGTTTCCTAAAAAGCCTTGCTTTTCATAAATAGACTGACAAATGTAAAACACAAGAAGGAAGGAAAAAAAGAAAATCAAGACAGCATGGCAGTAGCATCCATGTGTTTGAATTGCCCATCACAGGCACACATCCCTCTCTACTGACAAAATAGGAAAGGTACTGAATAAACATAGGGTAATGCTCTGAACACACCCAGCAGGCACCCTAATGCAGAAACCTTGTTTCTGTACTGTACCTGGGACTCAAAGCTCACCATGTGCACACTTCGGGATGAACATGCAGCACAAACTCTACAAGACTCTTCCAATGCCTGTTGAAAGAAAGCAGCCCAAAGCACCTGCCAGGGATCTTGGTGATTTCCTGTGTTCTCTCATGCTTTTAATTCCAAAGTTACCATTCATTAGTTTAATCTTTATGTATAAAAATAGATACCTGCTACCTCCCCACCAGTGCTTGGGAATCCATTCCCATAAAGCACTTCATCCATGTGGGCAGAGAAGTACCATCTGCAAGTTACTCCACTAACCTAAATGACATACTTTGAGGAGCACAGTGAAGGCCTAAGTAGCTAACTTAATCTTTCATTCAAATACTGTCTTTTCACTGGAGGCATCCCAGACCATATTAAAATCCCCAGAGGATATCTACAGTGAAGATGGCAATCAATGAACATTTTCCTCAAGGGCTGGCCTCATTTACTTATTAACTTCCTTGATACATATTACAACTTCATAACCTTCCATGACACACTCACTAAAAAGTGAATATTTTTCTGTCAAATCTTCTGTAGGCAGTATCAAACTTATTGCAAAGTGACTAATAGCAGAAAAGGCACTGATGACACAATGTCCTCAGCTCCCATCAATGTGCATATAAGTTGCATGTGCTATGTTGCAAATGATATGTTAGTTTAAGATTACAAGGCCTAGACTTCCATCTGTGTGTGTGCCGTAAAGCTACCCACAAAGTCCCGTGTCCTTGTTATGGACAGGCAGAGCCATGCATGATTTCTAACAAAAGTCATCTTGGCTTGTTACAATACCCTGAAGAGCAAGTGAAAGCAATTCATACATCTGCCTTCAAGCAGACTGACACAAGCCAACAAGCACTTAAATTCTCCATTTCATTATCAGGAATAAATGCAGTGGTACCAGATCATTCTACAGAAACTGGGTCTTGTTCTTTAGGAAGCATACAGACCCTGTCACCTGAAATTTGTTCAAAAGTACATTATCATTCCAAATCACTGTAATTTATAAATAGCAACTGGAGGTAGCACATACATAGCCTGAAACACAGAGAGATATTCAGCAGACAAAAAAAACCTGTGTAAGTACGTTATGCTCCAGTACTTCTAATAAAGCTTGATTGTATGCTTCCAGGCTTAAATTCTTTGTAATACCCAACTCCTAAGACAAAAGTTATCATGACATATAAACCAAAGAAGATTTATTAGTTTCATTCAAGACAGTATTTTGGTATTTTGTTAGTACCTCAAACTGTGTGAAACGTTTTCTACCTGATATCCAAAGAAGACCATCCACCACATATCCTGCATGGCATGAGAGCGATCGATCAAAGGACTGTACAAAGGTCCACTTGTTCTTCTTGGGGCAATAGCGTTCCACTGTAGGTAACACCTGACGCAATTCATTCCTGCCCCCTACCGCATAGAGGTACTCATCCACTGCTCCCAGCACAAAGTGTTCCCGACAGTTCTTCATTGGAGCTATCTCAGCCCAAGAGTTAGTGCGGGGGTCATATCGACAGGCAGTTCTCACCGCACAAGTGCGCCCTGTGGAGTGCTCTGCCTCTCCGCCAGCTACAAAAAGAAAGTCTCCCATGATAGCAACACAGTGGTGGCTTCTCCCTACAGGCATAGGAGCGAGCTCGCTCCAGTTTGCAATCCCTGCAATATGAACATTCTCTTGATCCACCGGATTGAAGTAGCGCAATTCCTTCACTTTACAGATTTCACGTTTTTTCCCACCAATAATGTAAAGAGTATCTGACTGGAAGCGAGGTTTTGTCCTTCTGGTTTGCCAGACTGGCTGTGCATAGACGCTCTGGTGGTAAGCCAAGGCCTCATTAACAAGAGCTGTTGCAGTTTCACTAGCTTGGACAAGAGGATGAGAAAGGGCTACGGTATGCAGTGTATTCACATCCATAAGGCCAAAGCGGACATACTGGAGAAGTTCATCCATGTACTGGTAGCGGCAGTTGTGTTCCAACCACCTCACAGCGAGCTAGATGTGGGGAGAAGGAAAGGAAAAACAAGACACCAATTATTTGTGTACAATTTTGTCAAAATTTGGTCTTTTGAAAACTGCTTGCATTCCAATACTGCTTGCTGTATACCTGCCTCAGTAGTGACATCTATCCATACATACAAAAAGCAGTTATGAAAGCACGCGAGTCAACATAAAATACACTCCTAAAACTCTATCTATAATATACATAAAAGCATTGTATTGCTCCAGTTCCCCTCAAGAATTTCCACAGCATTATCAGATCGTAATACTGCTATGCAATACTCTTGCGTGCAAACTGTTAGTAATGCTGTAGGAGACCACGAGATCGCAGCACCAAGCTATAGGAGCAATAACATAAATGTAGCGACTATGTGATCACTGGAGACCAAGGGTACACTAGAAAGAAAAGGAAGATTACCATTTGATGATTAGAAATAAAAGCCCTTTCTCCCTTCCATCTTTGATTCTATTTTTGACAAAATATTGAAGGAATATAACAAAATATGTACTGATTCCTTCAATTATTTTTTTTTCTTCTTCATTTATTTCATTCATAAAGTGGAAAGGGGTGTAAAGAGACCAGAAATTAAGCAGAGAAGAGGATCTACTGGTTGGGACTGACAGAAAGCACCAAGGAAAGACTCTAAAACTGTTCAGCAATTGCAGCTGGTATCAACAGCCAAAACTAAACATAGCCTTTAAATTACATAAAGTGTATCAAATCCAACCAGGTCTAAAAAGAGGCTAGGAAGGGCCTCAACCATTTCAAGAACTGTTATGTAAGTTATCATTGAAAACGTCCACTGATGAAGATACCCCAACTTCCTCAGGAAAACCATTCCCATGCTCAGCTATCCTCTCAGACAGATTTTCCTTTTACCTATGCAGGAGCTCTAAACCCTCCAAGATGTTGCCCCATTTTCCACCTTTGGTTTTATATTCCAGAGCTCTGGAATCACCAGACCAACCCTTGAAACTGATCCATCCATCCAGTTAAAGCAGTTTGCTACCTTCCTTTCCTCCTCCACCTCTGATGCATTTTAATGTGCATGTTTCACTTTCCTCTTCCCTGAATGAAAAAGTCTCTCAATCCATCTTGGGTCACCTGTTCTAAACCTCTGTTGTGTGGCTCACAATTCTCAGTTATTGAAAGAAAATGCCCTTCTTTCTTAAAGTTTGCTGCTGAAAACTGGATATGAACTTTCTCTAAAGGCTGTAGTAGTAGCGAATAGATTAGAAGGATCTCTTCAATTGTAACAATCAATGGCCATTCTAGTCTGTGCATCACTACACAAAACTGCCAGTGCACAATGATATTGCTGCTTCACATTTAAGCTTATGCCTGAGTATTATTCCCACCTCTTTTTTTTCTGCAGGACTTCCACAAAGTCTTGCTTTCTCTGTCATTACTGAATTCTACACTATTTATTTCAGGCCACTGCTCCAATCTGTCAAGATCATTTCTCAATCTTAATTAAAAACTGTTTGAAGACCATTCCACCTTCTGATTGTCCAAAACCATAAACTCTATATTATATTTTCATCCAAGTCATTAACAAAGATGTTGACTAGTTCTGGATGAAGACAGACTCCTCTACTTGATACTTAGTTTCATCCTGTCGAAGAACTTTTGGAGCAGGGGGTTCCTAATTAGCTGTGCAGTAACAACAATTTCATCTAAAACTTACTGCCCTGTACTGCTCATGGGAATGTCACAAGAAGGAGCTGAAGAGAAAGGCTTCTGTTGCTCATGACTTTCATATCTGTGTAGTCTATCAAATTTATTGTTGCTTCTGTATTCTGTCAGAGAGGGAAGCCAACAAACCAAACCCATCTTTTTAAGATTCATTTGAAACACTTTTTCTTCACTGTTCTATTCAACCCTTGTGAAAGAGAGAATGAGGGGCATAAAAAATTGCAACAGTAGTTCAGAGTTAAACATATTGAATTTCAAGATGTCCATTAACTATATGTGTTTAGACTTGCTAGTAAAAAAGGTGTTAATTAAATACATTTGAAAGTGTTTATGGACTTGAAATCATAAAGCATTATGTTCATATGTTTTAAGTCCAGCAGATACATGTGGCAAGTGTCTCCTACAGAGTGGTTTTAGGCAACTCCCTACTGCATGCCTTGGGCCATGTGAATCATTCCTCAAAGTCTTCAGAGGCACTTAGCTCTCATCATTAACTAGTCACTTGAAATCAAAGTGAAATTCCAGCTACCTTCATCATGATGAAGACCCCAACTGAATAAGGTGTGAGTTGCTATTTTAAAAGAGAGCAATTTACAGAACCTGATTTCTTATCTGTCATCACTTGCACCCAGCAGATTAGTTTCTTTTCCTTATAGTTCATGCCTTCACTCACATCTAAAATAGCATCATGGAAGTATCACCTGTGCTATAATGACAGACATTACAGACTCTTAGAAGGCATGCACCAATGCAAACATTTGCAAACTCCTGTCCTTTTAGAACAAGAGGTAATGGCCTCAAGCTGTGCCAAGGGAAGTTTAGATTGGATATTAGGAAAAAATTCTTTACTGAAAGGGATTTCAGGCATTGGAACGAGCTTCCCAGGGAAGTAGTGGCATCACTGGCACTGGAAACGTTCAAAAACCATGTAGATGAGGCCCTCAGTGATATGGTTTAATGGTGGACTTTGCAGCCCTGGGGTAATGGTTGGACCTGACGATCTTGAAGGCCTTTTCCAATCTAGTTGATTCTACAATTCTGTGATTCTATAAACCAGGTCTTGATAAACTTTGAAGGAAGTTTATCAAGGAAGGAAGAAAGGCTTTTGAAGGAAATTCAACCTTAATGCCTGTTAATATCTTACAAATTCATCCTCCTTCTTTCCTTTATTGTCCTCCCTCCTGCCCCCCAATACATAGTATATAAACACACAAGCAACACTACATAAAAACACACAGTATCTGCATTCATTTCTGCATACGGAGTGTGTGAAGATCTGCAGTAGAAGGTATGGATGATGCATTACGTTTTCTCTTCTCCATGAATTTTGGCAAAAGCAATTTGGTTCATACTGAGTTTGGTCTGCACTGAGAATATTCCTGGAGCTGTAAAATTGCTTCACTGAAACCAATAATGCTTAATGTTCCTCTAAAATCAAAGAATTTCTAAACCACCACAGCGATGGTGCAAAGTGATTCTGATGGCACTCATAGAAGATGTACAATCTATTCCCAGTCTTGAACCACAACTTTCTCCATCCTTTCCTACATTATTTCATCCCCACTCATCCATCTATCCTGCATCTTTACGAAAACTTTTGAATCTTTCAAAATTAAATTTATTGCAACTTAAAATTACAATTATTACAATCCTCTACATGCTGCACCTACAGGTACCTTTGGTCTACACCGGTTACACCTTTCCCTTCTGATAAGCAACTGCAAAAGGGAGGGTAAGGTGAATTCCAGGCTGTCTTTGGTGTAGGTTGCTACTGGCTTTTACCAGACTCCCCATCCAAGATCAGCCTGCAGTGGAGTACAGCATTTTACTATGTTGATTTAGAAAGCAGGGCTAAGAAACCTGCACATCACTGTATCACCTGGATGGTCTGTCAGCATTTGTTAATTGGTAGGGAAGTTCTACTGGATCTTAGGGAGGCGTCCGAGGAATTGGTAGGGAAGTTCTACTGGATCTTAGGGAGGCGTCCGAGGTCTGGGAATGACAACGAGTTTAGAAGCTCCTGTCCAAATCAGCTCATGCTCCTGTTTGCACAAAGTTTCACTACAGTATCCTGTGTGACCCACACCTAACCCATGGCACTACAGGGCAGATATAAGGCCTTGAGAGCTAAAAGCTATAATGTTTTCATCTCCTTGTCTTGCTATTGATAACAATGACTGTTACTTGATTTTAAATTACTTAAATTCATTTCGGGAAATTCCTTAAAAATAATGGCTAGGAATTTAAGCTACAAATGTAGGTATTTTTATGTATATTCATAGAATACATGACCAACTCCTAAATTATGAAACAACGCTATGGAACAGGTCATATAGTTTTAGGGACACTCAAAATGAACCTTAGGATTCTGCATTTGTTATGCAGCACACACTGTTACAGTGCTCCCTAGCAGAATGTGGTGGTTTACACTATGGAGGCATGGAAGAAAATCCAGTTATCTGTGTGGGTGATATTCCAGTCATTGGATGGTTTGGCAGCTACTGGAAGGCTGGAGAAGTTCAAAAGAAAGAAAATTAAGTTCTCAAACGAGTCTTTTGCTTGTGGTAGAAATAGTCACTGACAGACTGTAATACAATTCTAAATTTCCTTCAGTATAAAGGAGGGAAATGTAATTCTCATGAACATAATGAAGATTTTCAAACTTCCATGTAATATATCAGCAAACATCTGTATATTTATCAACACAGGTTCTACCACCTTTACTCGGGTTTTTTTTAATCTAGACTTAGAAACCTGGTGTCTACATATTCACCCCATCTACACACTAATTATAGCACCTACTTTTTAGCCTCTCTGGCAGTAGTGATTAGCAACTACAATCAGTATTGGCAAAATAAACTCAAAGCCATTATACACTTTATGACACTGAAAGGAAAGACATTCAGGCTTCTCTAAGGAGATACCAATAGCACTTGAAATTACAACTGTGTTTAAAACACAAACAAGCAAGCAAAAAAAAAAACCCCAACAAAACCAAAACCAACAAACCAACAGAGACCATCCACAATTCTGACGTTTAAAATATTTGTATCTCTGCTAAATAATTTACAAAAACAAGGAACGACTCCTACTCCTACTGCCATATAGGAAAATTCTGTTTAAACTGTTAGAAGCTTCTTTTCTATTAATTTTAATGTATGAGAGTGTGAGAGAATAGGAAGCTACAGCCTAGTGCTTATATCAACTTTAATAAATAATATATTTTGCCATATTCATCTTCTAAACTAAGTAAATGACAAAAGTAGACCCTCAGAAGGACAGGATTTTCAAATCAGAT